CACAGCAATAGAAAAGTAATACATTAGTTAAATTACCTATTTGCAGCAACAACTACAACTGGCAGACAAGTTTGGTACCTCGAAAACCTTTGGTAAGCATGCTGCCCAACTGGAGGGAGTGGAGGGATGCAGGATTCTTATAGTTTAACAGATAAATAAAATTTTAATAAGAAAGCAAGAATAGGTGAAGAAAGCAGAGGTAGTAATTCATTTTTATATTATATATAAGTGTAGGAGAGTAAGATTGATATCAGGGACTTTTTCTGTTAGGAATATATAATAGTGGTAATACAAATAAATACAAATGAGGCTTATAATAATTATAGTGCTATTCATATTAACAACAAGTTCAAAAACTTTAAAATGTATAATATAGTGTAACAAAACCAAAATAAGGACTATTTCTTCTATTTCTGTAAAGAGTGTCATTGGTCTTTTGATAGGGATTATATTGAATATGTAGATTGCTTTGGGTAGTGTTGTCAATTTAACAATGCCAGTTCTTCTGATCCATGAGCATGGGATATGTTTTCATTTGTTTGTATCCTCGTCAGGTTCTTTCATCAGTATTTTATAGTTTTCATTGTAGAGGTCTTTCACTTTGTTAAATTTATTCCTAGTTATTTTTTTGTAGCTATTATAAATGAGATTGTCTTCTTGATTTCTTTTTCATCTAGTTCATTATATATAGAAATGCTACTGATTTTTGTGTATTAATTTTGTATCCTGCAACTTCACTGAAATTGTTTATCAGTTCTAAGAGTTTTGTGGTAGAATCTTTAGGTTTTTCTGTATATAAGACGATGTCATCTGCAAATGGGACAATTTGACTTCCTTCTTTCTAATTTAGAGATGCCCTTTATTTCTTTTTCTTGCTTAATTGCTCTGGCTACATGGTTGTTTATAGCAGCTTTGTTTATAATTGCCAAAACTTGGAAGCAACCAAGATGTTTTTCTGTAGATGAATGGAGAAATAAACTGGTACATCCAGACAATGGAATATTATTTAGCACTAAAAGGAAATGAGCTATCAAGCCATGAAAAGACATGGAGGAAACTTAAATGCATATTGCGAAGTGAAAGAAGCCAAACTGGACAAGGCAAAACTGGAGAGAGTAAAAAGATATGTGGTTGCCAGGGTTTAAGGAAAAGGGAAGGAAGAATAGGTGGAACACAGAGGATTTTAGTACAGTGAAATCATTCTGTAGAATAATAAAATGGTGGATATATTTGTCTACACCCGTAGAATGTATAGTAGCAAGAGTGAACCCTCATGTAAACTGTGGTCTTTGTGATAATGACGTGTCAATATAGGTTCATCATTTGTAACAAATACACTACTCGGTTTGGGATGTTGATATTGGGAGACCCTGCGCATGTATAGTGGGAGGGCATATGTGGAAACTCTGTGCTTTCTGCTCAATTTTGCTGTGAACCTAAAACTGCTCTAAAAATAAAGTCTCGTGTGTGTGTGTGTGTGTGTGTGTGTGTGTGTGTGTGTCTGTGTGTGTATGTAAAATTCTAATGTTACTTTCTTTGACTTTTCCTGGTTTACATAGCTGAGCAAGGCAATTTGGTCAATGAATGTGGGTCAGGTGTTCATTTTGATCAGAGGTCAATGGTATGCAAATAGCTGCTTTTCAAAACCTGTTAGCCCTGTTTGGGAGGTGAAAAGTCCAAAACCCTGAGGGGCCTTTCTGGGTAGAGGCTGCCTCCCACTGTATGAGGCTCCAGTCAGCAAAATCATCAGTAACAAAGACTTGAAGCTCAAAGGGGTCATTAGAGCTGTGGGGCCCACAGGTAGAAGCGAGCAGGCTCAGAGTGCACACTCAGTAGTTCTTCAGTGCTAGGCCTTCAAATGCAGAATGGGGCAAGCAGAGAGCAGGGAGTAATTTGGCAAGACCTAATAAAATTGAAGATGCATGTATCCCACTATCAAAAAAATAAGTTTCTGGGTATCTGCCCTAGCAATACATGTGAAGAATGTTCATTATAGCACTATTTGCAATAGTGAAAAAGTAGAAATAACTTAAGCATTTTCAGTAGGATCATTTCCTCATATAATGTAATAGATTAAAACAGCAATTAAAATAGATAAACCAGATCTATACATAAATGGGAGTAAATCTCAAAAAACATGGTGTTGTGTGGAAAATAAATTTAGAAAGATATATTCAATAACTGCATTTATCTAAAGTTAAAAACATAAAAAGTAGTATTGCTATTTATGTAATAAATGTAGAAAAAGTATAAAAGTATGTGGGATGATATGTACCAACCCTAGGGTAGTAGTTATCTCTAGGGTGTGAAGGAAGAAAGAGTTGGAGTGAGTCTCTAGCTATGACTGTAATAAATAATATCTTAATAATACTTTATTAAAGTAAAATTATTAACTCAAAATTTATAATTTTTCTTTTAAGAAATCTCATACAAATATGGCAGAATATTAACATGATTTGTTTAATCTTGGTGGTGGACATAGAAGTGCTATTTTGATTTTTGTACTTTGCAACAAATTTATAATTCATAATTATAAATAGGAAGAAGAACATTCATTCAGTTAGAGAGGGGCAGCTTGTGCAAGGTCTTAAGTAAGGAAAGATCTTAGCAAGTTCAAAGAACTGAGAGAAAAATGCTGGATAGCTTGAGTACAGTCCACTAGGAGCAAGAGTATCGTGAGATAAAGTTGGAGAGGTAAGCAGGATCTTGATTTTTAGGGCCTGGCAGCCAATGTTCAAGATTATGGGTTTTGTTCTAATGACATTAGGAACCCACTAATGGATTTTAAGTAATGGAGTGCTGTGTTGATAATGGATTAGAGGATGAGGGGACACAACAGAGAGTCAGAATAGATGTAGAGACCAGTGTGACAATGATGTCAGAAGTTGATGGAGCTGAGATAAATTGTGGGTAGAGTCAACATGTCTTAGTAATAGATATGATGTAGAAATTTTGGGAGAAGGGCTTTTTCACCTTGGGCCTGGCAGAATGGCTCCCACAAAGAAGGGTGGAAATAAGAAGGATCATTCTGCCATCAGCATGCCATCAACATTCACAAGCGCACCTGTGGAGTGGGCTTCAAGAAGCATGCCCCTCAGGCACTCAAAGAGATCTGGAAATTTGCCATGAAGGAGATGGGAAATCCAGATATACACATTGATACCAAGCTCAGCAAAGCTGTCTGGGCCAAAGGAGTAAGGAATGACCCATACTGTATCCATGTGCAGTTGTCCAAGAAACATAACAAAGATGAAGATTCACCAAACAAGCTCTGTACTTTTGTGACCTATGTACCTGTTACCACTTTCAAAAATCGGGCCGGGCGCGGTGGCTCACGCCTGTAATCCTAGCACTTTGGGAGGCCGAGGCGGGCGGATTGCTCAAGGTCAGGAGTTCGAAACCAGCCTGAGCGAGACCCCGTCTCCACCAAAAATAGAAAGAAATTAACTGACCAACTAAAAAATATATATACAAAATATTAGCCGGGCATGGTGGCACATGCCTGTAGTCCCAGCTACTTGGGAGGCTGAGGCAGTAGGATTGCTGAGCCCAGGAGATTGAGGTTGCTGTGAGCCAGGCTGACGCCATGGCACTCACTCTAGCCTGGGCAACAAAGTGAGACTCTGTCTCAAAAAAAAAAAAATTCTATAGACAGTGTGGAAGAGAATTTACTGCCAATTGTCAGATATGTCAAATAAAGTTATGAAACCAAAAAAAAATTGGGGAGGTGTTGTTAACGATGATTCTAAAGTTTGTTTCATTAGATACTTAATAGACCTACCGAGCTGGGGAAACCAGGAAAGTATCAAATTTGGTGTGAGAAATCAAGTATTGGGTTTGAATTCCTGTGACAGCCAAGTGAAAATATTGAGTAGGTACCAGCGGGCAAACGTTGGGATGAGAAATTTAAAGGTGGGAATCAGCAGTAAATTAATGATACTTTTGAAGCCATGATAAATCATCCAGGAGGAGCATATAGAATGAGATGACAAGGGGGTGAAAAGCTGAGCGCTGGGGAGCTCCATGTTTAAAGATTGAGTAGACGGAGAAAGGCTTTAGTGAAGATTGAGTGAATGGCCGGCCAGTGAGGCAAGAGGACAGTCAGGAAGATGTGCTGTCAGAGCCAGGGCAAGAGATGATCTCAAGTGTACTGAAGACCACTGAGAGGTTAAGTAGGTTGCTCTTTGTCCCAAATTTAAAATGAAAATATATTTTACAATTGTAAAAAGTACCCATCTTGAACATGAATGTACTTGCCTTGATATTCTATTTACTGATATATAATTTTTAATTATTAAAGTTGTAAGTATCACAGACTTAAAAATTTATTTATATGAACGTACATGTGTGCACACACACACATATACACATACAAACTTTCTCCTGGATTTTGCGTAGGAATTATTAAGTATAGCTAGGGCAAGCTTCTTGTAGCAGGTAAGCCTTAACTAGGTTTTTCTATTAGGGTGGAATTTTATTGATGCATTTTTGTATTATATTTCTTTTTTTAATTGTGGTAAAATATATAAATCTACCTAAAAATGCTGCTGAATCTTTCATAAAAATATCTGATCAACTAATACAGATGATTTTAAAGAGTCAGACCACCCAAGGAAGATTGTTTCTAGATAAAGATCATGTGCAGAATCATTTAGTTTCATTTCTACAATATTTTTCTTTCGTTCCTGTCATAGGGAATAGTGGAATAATATGTAGGTTTTATTGTTTATAGCATATTCACACCATACACACACAGCCATTTGAGTTCGTGTAGTTAAAATTCTTTTGCAAGCCAAGTCTCAGTGAAGTTAATGTCTCAGTCTGCATTACATAGTTTGTTTGTACAGCGTTGAGGCTGAGCAATCTTTTGTTTCAGTTCATTACCAGAATCTTATAGTGTCTTATAAACATATTAATTTCTTCACATAGATATTTTAATGGGCTCTCTGCTTGATTGTTGTTTTTTTAACAGAAATATATCTATCTGTTTTCTTTAACAGTTGTTTCGAGAAGTACGAATAATGAAGATATTGAATCATCCTAACATAGGTATGCAGTTTATATGTATAATAAGTGATGAGTTTGAGAGTATTTAAAAAGAAACAATGTTAAGGATGCTTTATATAAACAGAAGGAAAGTGAAAACCTGAGTGATAGCCCAGGAAAATGATACTTTGGGTAAAAATAGATTTTAAAGAAATTAAATGCTACAAATTGCTGTTTTCTACAACCTTGCTATCTTCTGCTCTCCATTAAAATAATTGATACAACTTGGAGTTAATGCACACAAATGTTTGATATCTTCTTACTAAATCTCTTAAATAGAGGTTGCATGCTATTTAGGTATTTATAAAAAATGAACTCCAGATATTTTGATACTATTCACTTGGGTTTGATTATAGTTTATAGGGAAAGTAGCTATTTGCATTTTAAAGAAAATAAAAATTTGATTTCAATTTTATTAAATTTTTTAGTAAGTTCTGATTTTCCTCCTCTCTTTACAAATATACTTATTCATCAGATATGTGAAATCATCGATTGTAAAATGTAAAAATATTCTTTATAAAATCTTTACTTAATTTTAAACAATTTTTTAGATGTTTAAAAATCTTATCTGTACTATAACTATTAATATGATTATTTGTGGTGAATAATTTCAACTACTATGTAAATTTGATAATTTAGTAGTTTTACTAACTAGAAACTTTTATAATATCACATAAATACAGAATTGCTTTTGTTTCTGTACCAAAGATTATTTATTAATAACATTTTATGATAGCTCATTATAACATAGTCTCCTTTTAAACTTTAGTTAAAATTCTACTTTTCTGATTTTAAGATTTCTCTTTGTATTACCTTATTCTAATTAGAAAAAGTAATGGCTTTTTAATCCCAGAAATTTAAGTTCAGAAGTCGGTTCCAAATCACTTTGTGGTAAGTAGTTTTCTTCTCTAGGAGTAATAACCCTCTAGAGACTTTGTGAACTTAAAATTGTAATAATGTTTAGTAAATACTCAGATTTTTTCACTGGTTTAGCATTACCTTAGATTTTCTTAAAACATTCAATCTGTGCTAACAATTATAGAGTTATATCTCTAATTTCTTTTTCTAGTAAAATTGTTTGAAGTTATTGAAACAGAGAAGACCCTCTATTTAGTCATGGAGTACGCGAGTGGGGGTAAGGATGAGGGGGATTGAAAAGTTCTTTTTGACGAGATATACAGAATTATTAACATCTAAAGGTTCATGATGACATTTATGTGTTGAATGTTGTTAATGAATCTATAATTTTATTAAAATGCCTGTAAATTATATTTTAAGGGAAATTCAGTATTTGCTTTCAAGACTTTTTGATCCTACATTATATTAATAAACAGGATTTTTGACTTAGTTAAAAATTACTTGGGGACATTTTTTAAAACTCAATTTGTATTGTCATCTTATGAATGTTTTGATTCTCTTTTCTAAATTTTATTATAATAATATATCATAATATTATGATTAGAAGCTCTTGGCTGTAAGCAGGGAATCTCAAATGCAGAATTCATTTAATAAAATCTATAGTAAAAACATTTTCTAGGTCAGTAGTTCATTTCACTGTTCATATATGACAGATTCTCAATATGTATACATTTTCAAGATAATCCACAAAATGTTTCGATTTAAACAAGTGTTGATCTGTATGCTTTCTAAGTTAGGACTGAGTTGACGGAGACAGCAAGATGCATTGTAGTAAAATATAATGTATATTTTGACTATGATAGTGTCAAAAATAGGAATGATTTTTAAACACTAGTATGTTATTGAAAATCACTTTAATCTGCTGCATTTTCCCTTAAATGAGAAATACATCAGCTCAAAATCACTATTCTGTTTGGCATAGGACTTAACTTTCTCATAAATGGGTTTAAAATGTATAAAATTAAACTATTTAATAAATAAAAATTAGAATACTCGAAGGAAGGTTTTAAGGGCTCAGAGAATTTAAGCAATTTAAAGAAGAGGCAGCAGCTGAAATTATTTGGTCAATTAACTTATTGCTAATTAATAGGAAAACTTAGTGATGAACTTATTATTGAGCCTTTTTAATGAGTAAAGTTTATAGATTTTTATGGTGATTCAGATTTTATGTGAATTAGAATAAAGAGGATTTATCCTAATCTGTAGCAACTAAACTATATATTTTTATACTATCTCTTAAATTTCTAAAAAATGCTACTATAAATGTTAAATATATTTAATTGCTTTTTCAGTTGTTTGTGCAGATTATATATTTTAGTAGGATTTTTGTGCAAAGCTTTTGTCACCCTGAAAATATTTCAGTGTAGGTTTTTTAACCTAAAAATCTGTGTGATTAATGTTTATTATTAAAGAATTTTTAAAATTATATTTAAAAAGCACTGTTACATAAAATGTAAGTCTATAATCAAACTAATGAACCTATAAATGCCACATAATGAATTCCGTTTTTCTATCTTTAGTTAAATTGCTATTACAGTCTGTCATCATGAGAATCCTGAATATTATTTTTAGTTCAGTTAGACTCTTTTTTCCTTTCGGTGATGTAAAGTTTAGGGAAAGTGGTTAGACCCACTTTGATATGAGAAATTATAGACTGCTAAAAACCTGTGGATACCTTTCTGTTTTTGTAAAGGCCCACCCTGTTGATATATGTACTCATTTAATGGTTAATGGTAAGTACAGTCAACTCTCTATTGGTGCTAATGAAGGGGAGAAGTGTCTAGAGTAACATAGAGAACGCGGGGTCATCACTGCTCTCCTTCAGTAGCGTACTTGGGAGGAGCAGTGGAGAGTGGTATAGAGAGATGGATACTGGAATTCAGACCAAACCAGCTGGTTCCTTATTCAATTCTGATTCCTGGTGATAGGTTTCCTTTGGGTCTTGCCACCCAGTGATTCTGTAACAAAAACCATCTTGGTTCTGTGACAGTAAATCTAGAATCATTTTCTTGCCTTTTTAATCCATAAATGGCAAGGTGACTCTGGAAAATAAAACACTGAATATTTTTCCTCTGAAATTTCTAGAAAGTTTAGGATTGAATGTGACATGCATGCTAGAAATCTAGTGTGATCAAGAGCTAAGTCAAGACAGTTGCCTTTTTTCTGGCTGTCAGTTGGTTCTGGTTCACTAATGGAGTGAAGATACTCAGTAATTAGAAAATCAGGGAACTCCTTTTTTATTTTGAACCATGTTTATAATCCAAAGGAGCCTATTGAAAGTAGGTGTCAGGGCTACTCTGGAATGGTGAGTTTGTTCTTTCTTTCTTTCATGCAAACAGTATTTATTAAACGCTTACTGTGTGTCAGGTAATATTCTAGATGCTGGGAATACATGGGTAAGCAAAGATAAAGTCTCTGCCCTCAAGAAGTTGACATTCTAGTTGGGGAAGCAAATCAACACAAACAGTATAGGATAAGTGAAGGACAGCATCATGTAAATATCTGGGGTATAAGCACTCCAGACAGAATTTAAGAGTACATCCAAAGTTTTCAATGCTTGTGTATGTCTTTCCCAGCCTAGAATTAACTACTCTGATGGGTTAACTAGAATTAACAACTATTAACATGTACCTAGAATTAACTACTATGATGAGTCAACTAGAGCCTCCATTCATTTCTGTTCTCATCATCTCATTTAATCACTTAAATATGCCTGATATAATATGCTGTCTAACATTATAGATATACTAGTTTCATGTGACATACATCCATTACATATTTGATTTTTAATATTTTATATCCTAGGGATTGATATTGCATATATGTATATGTAATATATCTGTATACCTAGGTTCAAATACATCATTTATTGAGTGCTTACTATATGCCAGTCACTGTGCATTATTTCATTTAAGCCTCAAACAGCCATGTGAGTAGGCAGTAAGTAGAAACTGAGTCTTAATGAAGTTAATAAATCTTCCTAATGTTGCTCAGTATCTGCTATGGGCTAAACCAGGATTCATACCAAAGTTGGTCTGATTCTAAACCCTAAAATTTTTTACCACTTTGCTGTACTTTACAAGAGCTCTTTAAGCTATTTTGTGATTTTTTTTAAATATACGTGTATATCTATGTGGTGCAAATTATAAAGACACAAAAAATAAATTCCTTATACTAAGATAATATCTTTAATATTGTAACTAAAGATTAACTTATTTTTAAACTATTACTGACTAGAGAAAAATGAAAAAACTTGTAAGGGTGTAAAGTAATGGATCCAATAGAAAATGTCTGCAGCTTCTGGTTATTTTTGAATTATTTTAACAATTATTTATTGTTTGTCCACTTTGTGTTCTGTCATAGAGATGAGGATACAAATAAAGTACAGTTATGATGAATGATATTCAAGTAGTTTACAGTTCATTTGGGGTAATAGACAGGCACACACAGATGACTTAATTATGTATAATTTGTGCTTACCTATCAAAATATATGAAATGAGTAGAGTGAGAATAAACATAATTAGAGCATAGAAAAGAAAAATAAATCAATGTGGATGGAAATAATGATATGAAATTTTATCAAGATTACATAAGGGGTAGAATTTAAAAAGAACAATCCAACATAATATAACTTTGTAATTTTGTTTGAAATATAGGGCTCAAATACAAAGCCAAATATAATTTTTGATTGCCCAGACTGTGGCTTCCCTTTACTAGAATGGATAATATAGAGTTGACTGTATTTTCATATACTACTTGAAAGCAGAAAGCAAGTTTTCTTGATTATATTTTGTGACATTTTTTCAGAAGTTTTGCTAAATCAGATACTCAGTTCTATATGTAATTTCCCCTTTTTTTATGTGTTAGTTCGTGACTTACCGTATATCACTAGCAGAAAATTGTGGGCCAGTAATTTATTGAAAAACAAGACAAAAACTTGACATTGCATATATTGTTGACCGAAAATCTATGTATATTTTACTACCTGCTTTACCTTTTTGATTCAGGTGAAGTATTTGATTACTTAGTTGCCCACGGAAGAATGAAAGAGAAAGAGGCCCGTGCAAAATTTAGGCAGGTATGGAAAATAGTTTTCAATTTTGTTTTGCTGATATTTTTAATGATATACAAAGGACAGTATAATAAACTGGACTTGATAGCACATGATATTTTGAAAAAGTTCCTACTTCCTTACACTTTTTAACAATGGAAAACGCCTGAAAAATAAACCTATTCTTTCTGAATGTAAAGTAGATGCAGATGGTTATTTTTAGGTGGTCATAAATAGTGATGAATTTTTATAGATAAGACTGACCTTGTTATTTACTCTTTGAGAGTCTTGGAAGACTGAGATAGAAAAAGAAATATTTAAACCTTTGATGCCTTTATCCAATAATTATTATCAGGTATTATTAGCTTTATGTATACAGCATATATGTGTACTGTTTAAAGAGATGATTATATTATTTTCTTTTATAATTAAAGATGTTTTGGTATTAAAACTTGTAGATTTAAAGAATATGGTCAATTTTATTTAGTCTAGTAGGCAAGGAACCTTGCAAGTGTGGCAGAAGAATCTGGTAAGATATTCATATTTTCAGTTCAACTTGAATATAGCTTGTTATAGAAATGATAAAATTAGAAAAAAATAAATTCATCTAGGATTTTATTTTTAAAGACTGAAGTGATTAAAATAAGCATACTTGTAGATTACTATAGAAATAACGAATTAGTGAATTGTAAATTGTTCACAAAATTTACTGAAGTTTCAGCTGACAACTTACTATATCCTAAACTTTCCCTCAGTGAATTTAAAATTTTCATTTTCAAATGGCTCAATACCACTTCTGTAAGCACGAACACTGATTTTACAGTTAAAGGGGTTCTGTAATCATTGTGTTTGGGCAACACTGACTACTGATATAAAATCTTCCTCTAACATATTTGCCTGTTAAGCAATTGGAGAAGTCCCGGAGGGGAGGAAAAACCCTGTTTAACTTTTCTTGATACAGCATTCTCTAAATTGATTACAGAGTTTGTTTGTTTTATGAAACCTCTATTAATAATATCTCACAGAATTAGTGCTTTTTGGAACACAATTTGTAAATGCTTTATGCCAAGTACATGCTTGGCCTTTTATTCAGGATAGATTTGGAAGCATAGCTGAATGTAAAGGCAACTGGTAATGAGGAAAGTGACGTTCAGAAACTGAATGGTGTTCAGCCACATGCTGTTAAATTCTTTCCTATCCTGGGATGAAAGTTCAAGCTTACCCTTAAGTAAAGCATTACAGACATCATTTTATATATTATTCTTTCAATACCAGTCACAGTACCTTTAGTTGGTAGCAGACAAGCAAGAAAATTCTAATTGGCATTAAATATTCCCATTTACATCTTTATATGTATTTTAAAGATTATTGGATTATTGGTATTTACTCTTTTTTTAGTCAGCTAGTTTTACTTATTTTTCTCTATATATAGAAAATTGTACTGGGTACTATATGGAATTAGAGAAGTTAAGGATGCCTGCCATCTTAAAGAGCTTGCCTTCTTTGCTGGGAGGTTGGAACACAGATACCTTCATACAGATACAAATAATTACTAAATTTGGTTTGTTTTTGAAATAGTCTGAATTATTTTGAAATCTGCTTCATGTTCCACATGATTGTCAAATGAATGCTATTTAAATTGTAAACTGATGGGAAATATTTTCTTTTTAATTCATTTACTATAATTATTAAATGTATTTAATATCTATATGTGTTACCCCAAAACTAAAAGGGTTATTACTAACTTACATTTTTAGAAACCAGGGATATATAAACATACATAAACATGCATACACCCACGCACATATACATTATTTTGTAGTTTACCTGGCTAAAGGTTTTATTTATTTTAAAATTTATTTTTGAGAAGCTTTTCTTTATAGATTTGATTTAAACTCTTAGAGAACTAATAAATATACATTTACTTTATTTGCTCTGTATTTTATAATTTTTTTAACAGTGAAAGAGTGTAGTGTATTAGCAATGATATATATATGTCCTTGACCTTACTATTAGCTATACGAAAGCCATTAGGGCATTTTCAGTTCAACTTGAATATAGCTTGTTATAGAAATGATAAAATTAGAAAGCCATTAGCAGCCATTGCCCATACAATACATCTACATTCCTTAAGATTTGGTGGCCTGCAAAAAAAAAATTATAATACTGATTCAACTATTCCAATATCAAGGCTACTACTTCAAGCATTAACATTCCTCACCCAATTGTAAGTAATTGCAAAGCAACCCTAACATCTGCTCCTTCCTGGAAAACACTGACATGTGTTAGGGTCAATGCAGGGCTGATTGTAAATCATGTTTTCAGGATCCACAATAGAAGGATCATAGGGCAGTTTCTATTTCCTGTTCGTGGAAGTACAGAATGTTTTGAGATAGGAAGGTCTAGCCATAGAATAATGCGGTAAAACTTGGGCTTGTGGATGGGGATGATAGCAGTGAGTCAGATGCCAGAATTTTATACCCTGCTAGGCAAGTGGGGTAATGCTGTCAACTACCACATTTTACTACTAGCTCAGAGATCACAGAGTGTGGGAAGAATGTACGCTTAATACAGAACATTTTCTTTAGTTATCTTTCCATTATCAAAGCTTTAAGGCTCAGGAAATTTTTGATTCCAGAAGTACCTGTAGAACTGCTTTCATAGAGACCATTCTGTCTTGTGCAAAATGCTTGGCCTCTGATCAAGTATGTTAACCAAATTATCTGTGACATACCTTCACTGTATCATACAAACACATGACTTGTAAAAGATAATATTAGCAAATTTTTCTCATCTGTGATATAAAATTAATCTTGTAATATGAACATAATATGGCATATATAGTATATCCAATAAAATATACATACAAATGTATATATCTTTTGGCTAATGAACATAAGTTAGTGAAAATTGGGTATTTGAATTTTGAAGCATATTGCTTAAGAAAACTAATACTACAAATATTTATCATTAGGTTCTGTTGTACTTTTGGGAATCACACTTCAAATTGATCATTATCATTTATATCACCTTGCCTGAAAACATTTAGTGGTTCTGTATAGCACCTGCTTAGTTTGGAATTCAGGAACTTGCACCAACCTGTCTATCAAGGTTTGACTACCACTGTTACTATTTTCCCACCTCCTTTTCAAATACACTGTGTTCCCTCATCATTAATGCATTTCACCACCTTATCCCTCCACCCCATCCCCAAATCTCTGCATTTTAAAGTATTGTCCTTCAAGGATGCCTTGGATCAAATAGCACCTACTCTTGGAAGCATTTCCAAGTGAAATTATTTTTTATGATTCTCTCATTTCTCTGTGCCTCTGCTTCTATGATTCTACCTTGCATTATAGTTACTCACATACATGTTTTCTTAATCAGATTGTAAGCTCCTTAAGGACAGGGTACATGTAGTGTTCATTTTTGTTTGCACCTAGCACATTTTCTTGCACATAGCAGGTACTCAATAAACTGTTGAAGCAAAATGAATTAAGTTGAATTATATATTACTTTTTATGTGTTGATAATTTCATTTTAAATTCATATTTTCTCTGTCTTTGACCCATTTTAGCATATATTAGAATAATTTTATAACAATGAATAATATATTTCACCTCTACTTTAAAGTTCCTTTTCTTCACCTGTATTCCTATTAACATGGTCATACTTCACATCACCTTACTTTTTAAAAAATAATCTCATTTCTGTCTCCATTTGTAAATGCCTAACCAACATTCAGCATTCAAACTGTGTTTACATTTAACTGAATCCACAGAATTGAATGTTCTGCTGTGCATTAAAATGGTTGTCCTCCTATTCGTCAGATATAATTTTATGCACAACATAGCTCTGAATCAAATGCCATGATTCTTTCCTTTTTGTATTTTATGTAATAAAGAACTATCATAGAATTGTTTATAATCTATTTCTCATTTATATTTTTGGCCTTTAGACATTGGGAACCTTGTTTAGCCTTCGTTCCCAAAGAGCCTTATATGTAATGGTTAAAAATTATGGCTGCATATAAAACCTAGTTATAGGTGTAGAATGCTTTGCCTGACTGTGTTAGTGAGCAGTTTAAAATTAAATTTTCATTTTTTTCCTGTTTTTTTTATGATCAGATTTATTTTTAAGCCTTAAAATTTTTCCTTTCTCTTTATATATAAACAGAAAAATATAGGAGTTTGCAAAATGCCTTGTTAATAAGTTCGTAGTCAATTGGCCTCACTAAAGAAACATGCCTTGAACACATTTGATATAATTTCTAGAATGGAAGTTTGCTTTTTTAACTCAAGCCAACTATCTGGAAATACTAATTTATGTGTGCCAAAGCTGTTATTTCAACACTGTAATAAACTACTTGACCAAACTAAAAATTGTGTACATTCAATCATGTAAACTGAGAATTCTAATGACCCACACAAAATCTTCACAGACTCTGACAAAGAAATATTTTACTGTATTTTAGCAAAAGAATATTACTTTTATGCATTTTCTACATTTAAGAGCAAAATTTTCATCACTTTAATGTATATGGTTTTCTTAACTAAAGAAATAGTGAAATTATTAAATATTACTTTGAAATCTTAGTAATTTATCTAAATTGGAAATGATAATTGGAGGAAAAATGGGAGTGTTTTTACCATAAAATAATTTCAACTCTTATCTAAATATTTATTTCAGATTGTATCTGCTGTACAGTATTGTCATCAAAAGTGCATTGTTCACCGTGATCTTAAGGTAAGCTGCTGATTTTATAACAAAAAAACTTCGTCATTAACAGATATTTAAATAATATTAGAGCTGTCTTTTTAATTGCCTACTGTGTCAGTCACTATACAAGGTAGTTAGTTTTTATTTAATTCTGACAGCAGTTTTATGAAAGGTAATATTTTCACTGAGCAAATGAAGAAAATATGAATGAGAAGTTATCTAATGTTAAAGACAAGAGGATTTGATTTGCCATTAATTAGCTTGTTTTTAATAGATAAATGTGGAACTTAGTCCCACAGTGCCTGAGGTCCAGTTCAGACAGAAGCAAGGTCAGGGCACAGAAAGACCTGTGTTTGCCTAATATAAGAGCCAGTGTTCTCCCTTGACCTTAAAGCTCAAAGAAATAAGGAAAGTTTTAAAATATTTTTATGAACACTGAATGCATGTTATCAGTATAGACTAGCATATTTTAGAATAAGAAATGTGTGGTTAGTCAAAAAATGATTGTGGCCAAAAATATTTTATTTTTTAAATGAAGGTAGAAACTCTACAATGTTTAAGACTTTTTTCCTTTTTTTCACCATTATTCCAAATTTAACTTGCATTGTCCTTTACCCAAGAGTCTCTTTCTTTTTTACTTCTTTCCTCATAGCCTTTATCAATTTCTAGCACTAGTGTTGTCAGAACCGCAGGAGATCTTGGCCTAGGTCTGGCTGCTCCTTACACAAGATCCAACTCTTGAGATAATGAGGATTGCCAAGGAAGAAAGGAATTTTTTTAAATAGGACAGACAGACATTTTCTTGTCCAAGGCATCTCTCAAGAGCATGGGCTTTTAAAGGATCTGCCACCTACCAGTGGCAGTGTAACTAACTAGGAGCTAAGTGCACTGGGGGCAGGTTGTGGAGGATGGTGTATCTTGACAGGGGCCTTCAGGATCTCAGCTCCTTTATCCTTCAGAAAAGCCACCATTTCTGAGAAACAGCATGAAAGGTCAAGTAGTGAGTTATGGGAGAGAATTTAAAATATAGGGATTGGCCTGGCGCGGTGGCTCATGCCTGTAATCCTAGTACTCTGGGAGGCCGAGGCAGGCAGATCACTCAAGGTCAGGAGTTCGAGACCAGCCTGAGCAAGAGCGAGACCCTGTCTGTACTATAAAATAGAAAGAAATTAATTGGCCAACTAATATGTTTAGAAAAAATTAGCCGGGCATGGTGGCACATGCCTATAGTCCCAGCTACTCGGGAGGCTGAGGCAGGAGGATCGCTTGAGCCCAGGAGTTTGAGGTTGCTGTGAGCTAGGCTGACGCCATGGCACTCACTCTACCCTGGGCAACAAAACGAGACTCTGTCTCAAAAAATAAAAATAAAATATAGGTATCATTGAAATTTGTTCATAGAGCCAGTTACACTAGTTTGTGTTATAGTTGAATATATTGTTCTAAACGGTTGTCAAAAGTCTAATTCTGTATTCTGTATTTTGGCTCGATTTTTAGAGCTTATGGATTTTCTGCTACTCCAAATTGTTCTATCTCAGTTTCCTTCTTCAGCTATTTTAAGGGGAAATCACTTCAACAAAGAAAGAGAAAGAAGAGGACTGTTTCCCTGCTTCTGTGCCTAACCCCCAGCTTATCATCTCACTTCTTACGTGAAAAAATTTTACAAAAAAATTAAGTTCAATACTTTGTGTTTTCCCTCTAGTCCAGTGGAGAGAGTTTTCCCCCTAAACACTCCTGGAAGGAGACCTCAGAACCCCCAGCATCTCTCCTCTCCTGAGGCAGCCTACATGCTTTGATACCCATCCAGACATTTTTAGAGAGACTGAAAAAAATCCAACTTGAACACAAATAGCTTCAGAAATTTACAATGTACCTTACATGAGAACATCAAAATAACCTGGTTTTGTCACAGTCCAAAATGTTACAATCTAATATAAATCTCCAAAACTTACATGCTTTTATAATATGTATGTCATAAATGATACCACATTTTTATTGCATATTTTGGGTGCTAGGTGTATCTGCATTTTCCAGAACAAAATGAAAACAGATATTCCAAGCTAGTATATCCTAAAAAAAGAAAGAAAGAAGGGGGCTGGGGGAGAGAAGAGCTATATGATGGGTAGAGGGCCTGACTCTGCTGACTGTTGGACCTTCTAATGATTTAAAGAACTCTGATTTTCATTTTAGTCATATTTTACTCCTTTTTGGAACCTGATAAAACACATCCATAAAGTAACCTATAACTTTGTTAGTCTATCCATCAGTTATAACATAGAGTTTGAAACGAAACATATACTAAAGCTAGTCCATTATTGAGTTGCTTGCATTTACAAAAGACACATTTAAAATGTTGTCTTTGAGTGATTCTGTTTTAGGATTTTGGAAAACCAGCATCTCAAAACATGGGGGGAAATTTACAGCTTTTTATGAATATACTTCAAGATGAGAATCTAGTTTTAGAACATCAAAAGGAAGCTTAAAACAGACAAGATCTAGTGGAGGCTGTGTCATTTTATTTTGTTTTACTTAAAAAGTACTTTGTTGAGGAAGCATTCTGCAAGAAAGGACAAAGGAAAGAATTCAGTAGTCACAGAACCCCTGACTGGCAGACTCTGGCGTTAACTAACAATACGCTATTAAAATAGAGCTCCTTTGGGTAAACTTGGTTTAAGTCCAGGATGGATTAGTGTTAAATGTGCATTAAAACAGGTCATATTAAGGTACAGTTCCACAATGTCTCTTACTTTGAGGAAAGAAATGGATTTTAAATAAACTCTCTTAAATAGTTGCATATCAATGAGAGCTTTCCTTTTATAGTGTTAAAATTCAGTCTTATATAGATGTAATTCTGAAGTTATGCACCAGACTTCGAAATTTGATATTATATTTACAAATGAGAAGGAAGAAACACATAAGTTTGGGCTCTGAAACAATTTTTAACAAATATTTTTATTTTACGTAAACAAATATTTTTATTTTACAGTGTCCTTTTTATTGTTTTCCTCTTAGGCTGAAAACCTTCTCCTTGATGCTGATATGAATATTAAAATTGCTGACTTTGGTTTTAGTAATGAATTTACAGTTGGGAACAAATTGGACACATTTTGTGGAAGCCCACCCTACGCCGCTCCTGAGCTTTTCCAAGGAAAGAAGTACGATGGGCCTGAAGTGGATGTGTGGAGTCTGGGCGTCATTCTTTATACATTAGTCAGTGGCTCCTTGCCTTTTGACGGCCAAAATTTAAAGGTATCAGCTTAATTGGATGTTATTGTTTTTATCCCCGAGTACAATAATTTCAAAAGCCGGTGATAAGGGCTTTCTTTTGCTTTTTTTAAGGAACTGCGGGAACGAGTCTTAAGAGGGAAGTACCGTATTCCCTTCTATATGTCCACCGACTGTGAAAATCTTCTGAAGAAATTATTAGTGCTAAATCCAATAAAGAGAGGCAGCTTGGAAGTAAGTAATGTTTAACCCAAATTTAAAGTTTAACAATTAAAATATTCCAGGAACTGAAGAGCATCTCTCCCCCCCCCCCCCCCCCCGTGTTCTTTTTAGGAAATTTGCCAAATCATCTAATTTGCCTTTTGTTTAGAGGTGGGGAAAGTGACATGATTCTTTCACTATTCAATAGTTGTCATAGTAGGTTTTTCTAAAATCTGTTGTTTCTGCTTTGTCCTGCAGTGATGCATTAAATTAAAACAACATAAAAATAGGGATAAAATTCACTTTTATTTGGAAAAAGAAGAAAACGTAGCGTCTGTCAGAAATTGCTTGGTCCAAAAAAGAAACTTTGTTTTTAGTGATACTCAATAAATATTTCAGTGACAAAAGAAGATAGTGAAAATTCTAATCTAGTGAATGCATCAGAGCTATATCCAAAATTACTATGTGATATGAAAAAATTTAATAACTCTCAACTTTAGTATATAAAATTTACAAATATTTAAGTAGACTATATTGGAAACAAGTATTTCATTTCTTTTTTTTTGTTTGTTTTTTGAGACAGAGTCTCACTTTGTTGCCCAGGCTAGAGTGAGTGCCGTGGCGTCAGCCTAGCTCACAGCAACTTCAAACTCCTAGGCTCAAGCAATCCTACTGCCTCAGCCTCCCAAGTAGCTGGGACTACAGGCATGCGCCACCATGCCCGGCTAATTTTTTCTATATATATTGGTTGGCCAATTATTTCTCTCTATTTTTATTAGAGACGGCGGCTCCCTCTTGCTCAGGCTGGTCTCGAACTCCTGACCTCGAGCGATCCGCCTGCCTCGGCCTCCCAGAGTGGTAGGATTATAGGCGTGACCCACCACACCTGGCCAAGTATTTCATTTCTTAACACACTGTTATGTTGCCTACATACATTCCACATGTGAAGTCATTTATAATAATAGATACTATTATAAATGTACTAACTATATTACAGCCAAATAATATCAGAAGTTCGAATACCAAATGTCTAACCTTTTATTCTTCTGGCACTATAATTAGAATAGTTTATTTCTCGATTATTTTACCCCCATCTGTTTTTAAGAATGATATTTTAGCTTGTACTAAGATAATTTCAGAGTTTCAGCATGCTTTATTCACTAGTGTTTTTTGTCTTCATTTAGTTGCCTTAATAGAAAGAGTAGAAAATTCACAGAATTAACCTCATATGAACTGTACTTTTTTAGTGTAGCAATGGGGCTTTCTGGCACGGACTCCATGCTGGTTAGGAGGCAGCCTTATAGTGAGCCATCCCTGTGTACAGAGCTCTCAGGTTAGTTTGGGCTTTGTAATTTTATTTACACAAATATTTTTTACTAAAAGATACATTATGTTTTGATGGAAGTTAAGGGATGGTGACTTCCATTGGGAAATTATCTTTTATCTTAAATGCTTTGTATCAGTGGATCAATTATCAGATTTTTAAACTGAATTACTTATTTACATGTGATTAGTTCTTTATGATTTTTATGTTTTTCTTTTGGGGGTAAAAACATATGTTAATAATGTTTTAATAGAGAATATGTACAATAAAAAGCCCACTTTTATATCACTGCTTTTCTAAACTTACTTTCAATCATTATTCATAGGAAATTATGTGAAATAGTTAAAAAATTAGAATTGTTGACTCTACTATCACTTCTAAAATTGTAGAACTTCAGACAACAGAAGTCTCTCTCAGTCCTGCTTTATGACCCACTTAAACATAGGAACCCACTTTACCTGAGTGTCACTTAATAAAATGCTCAGAGTTGAACCAGCAGCTCAGGTAATAAGCAGAGCAGAAAGAACATACAGAAATTATTTGGGGGGAATATATCTTACAAATCTGTGGGCAGTTGATAAGATGTGCTCATGCCTCAAAGATGATTAATTCATAGTAGTCAAATGTTTTAGTCTTCATCCTTAGCATTAAAATGCTGAGGATTAAAGTTTTAGAGTGCTTTGAGTTAAATTTAAAAGCCAAATTGTTACTATTGAAACAATTGATCATCAGAAGCTCAATTTAATGTATTTGAATATAGTCTGGAACTACCTGTTCCAGCTTATCAAAACTAAGTTTTTCAGCCATGAAACCATGGGTCCATACATTGTCATAATAATTGCAGATATCACTGTATAAAGGCTGGTCTGCATCACAATTCCCAGAAGTGACTTTCTAGAGAAACCTAATGTTACCAGAAGTTCAGCATTTGTCCCTGAGGCCACATCAGAAGAATAAGGACAAGTGGTTTTTGGAGAAAGAAAGAGAAGTTTATGAATTTGCTGGCAAGTGAGAAGAATGGCAGACTCGTATCTTAAAATGCCATTGTCCTATAAGCAGAAGCACAGAGCTTTTAAAAGGGGGAATGGGAGTTCAGCTTCAGGGTATTGCTGTTTAACTATAGTTGATGGTTCTGATCAACCCCATCTCTGTCGAAGACAATCTCATGACCTCTTCCAGGACAGTTCCGTGGTACAAAAAACAAAGAACACTCCCCTACCCCTCTGATTGCTGGCCTTTGGCAGGGATGCAGGTTTTAATACCCAAAAAGAGGGAGGGGGGTGCTTGAAAAGACAAGTTGTAAAACATTTTACCCTTTTTCAGCTCATTCCCTCTGTTAGACTAACACCAATTCAATATATTTGTGTGTATCTGTGTGTGTGTGTGTATTTCTTACACCAAACCTTAAGAAACTCCTAGAAATATCAGTGACTTCAGATAGTGTATTCATCTTCATTCTTATTTTTTATACCAGCTTTACAATGACAAACCTGTAAACTATTAAAAAACAGCTATTTTTAAAACACTCATCTCAGTGTGTAAACATAACTTTTTATACAGCATTTTTAACCTAAAGGTTTTTGAAATGTACTTTTTCTTTATTATAAGAGTTGAGTAACTTTTTCAATAGTTACATTATTCTCCTTGGGTTATATCTTATAATTTATTTATTTCCTGCTTGCTGTACATTTGAGTTGTTTCCATCATTTTTGCTAAAAGTACCATAGTGTACTTTCCGCCCCTTTGGAGTATATGCTTAGATAAATTCTCCAGAGTGGTATTACTGGGTCAAAGTGTATAAGTGATCTGATGAGACCTGTTATGTGTCATTGCCAAAAGATGTGTTTGACCCAAAGTTTTTCAATGTACCTATTCTTCACAACTTAATAATTCAGTATTGGTCAGTGTTGGATATAATAAGTTCTACGATTTGATGCCTTCATGGTAGTAATATGGTTTATTATAATTGTTTTAATTTATATTTGTTTTATTAGTCATAAATAGGAATATTTTTAGTGAATAGGTTGACTATGCTTCTTCATGTATAAGCTCTCAGTGTCTCTTGAGTACTTGTATGAAACAGTCTGGTTCATCACCCTTGGGTTTGTATCAGCTTGTATATTTAATATAGAATATTTTCCCTGTTGATTCCATATTTTACAAAAATGGAACTTCGTGTATTTTTTTTCGGTGTTACTTGAGTATCATGAATTATTGATTAGAGTAACCACTAATCTTTCTTCACTATATGCTTTGCTACTATTGAAATTTGATTTAGAGAATCTTGCATGGCTGCTTCTTGTCTTATTAAACTTCTTATGTAACTTACACATCTACTGTTGCTTACCAGACATAACGATTTTTTTAAAAAAAAATTAAACAGTTTCTTAAAGACTTATAAGTTAAATACCTTATTTATCCTCCATGAAAATACAATTAATGAAATTAGTTTCATGTTCTACTTGGTTGGCTTATAGTTGTTTCTTGATCTAAACAATCAATTATATAATTTTTTCAGGTTGTGTATATAAATACTGTCTGCTCTTCCTAATTGCACTAATAATGAGAGAGGACAGTATCACACATGATTTTAAAAGGATCTGTGTTTTATTTTGTACACTAGGGTTTTGTCCCTCTATTTCTTGGAATATTGGTATGTATAGATTTTATACTAGAAAGAAACTTAAGAATTTACCTGCTTTTCCCTCCATGTACATACTCTTTCCTTTTCCAGCATGGACTGTATTACCTTTCAAAATAATGCAAAAATTGAGCCTGAAGCAAAGTTCTTATTGCCCTCTCTCTGTCATCTTTTGTCTTCAAAAAAAAGTATTTATTTTGACTTTTAATACTTTATTTTTCAGCTGTTACTAAGATAATCTTTAAAATCTTACTTATATCTGTGTACTAAAAATGACACTAAAGCAAAAAATCAAGTAGTATTTTATTTTAAGACTAGTCAAGTGCAGTAGTGAGGAGGGGGGAAGTAGTAGAACAAGGAGTTCAATCTGTAACTGACTATGAACGATCAAGTGAGATAACTCACTCCCCTCAGACCAGCCCCAAGTAGTATTTTTTTAAAAATGAAAAAACGATTTCTAGGTATAAATTCAGAAACATAATAGTATATTTTATGAAAGTTGAAACCATTTGAGTAAAATTATTTCCATCTGGCCATCCCAAATTCATAATTTTTTTAATGTGCACCTAAATATAGGGAGTATATGTCCCATAGTTAAATTCCTCATAATTCATCTGAATTGATTATTTTGTTAGTATTACTTTTCTATAGTAAGTTAGTAGTCATTTATGTTCATTGGCACTGATGGCTAGAGTAAACTTTGTTAAGTTTGGAATTTTGTTTATCCTCTAGTTTTTTAAGAGATATCTGAAATGAAATCTGATTAGATTAGTTTATTCAACTAGTTCCCATGTCTAGTGCAGTTTGTTGGCCTAGTTCTTTATACCCTGTCTAAAATCACCCACACTAAAGTTACATGAGCTCTCTCCTATCATGCAGTACTTTCATTTCCTGGAGATGTTTCTCCCCTGGCTTTTAATAATGTCAACTCTTGTGGTTACTGTAAAAGAATTTTGCATAAGCATGAGGTTCACACAACTAGGGACAGGTATTTCCATATTTCTCTTCTCTTTCATATATCTATATTTTGTTGTTTTCTGTACTTTATTCTAGGTAAAGACTCTCCAATTTAGAATGAATAGAGTTAAAACCTTCACATGTTCCCTCATTTAAGGGAATGTTTTTCTTTCCAACCTTTACCTTCCATTCTGAGATTTTTTTATTCTGTTTCAAAATATAGCTGTTGGTGTGAGACAAACTGCTAAATAGACTCTTGGTTGTTTCCAATGACTAGAATAATAAAGGGAAGCAAAACTGTGTATACCAGTTTTGTGTATACCAAAACTGTGTATACCAGAAGTATTTGTCTCGCTTATGTTTTTTATTTTTCTTCTTTGTCCAATCTCATTCATCATAATGAAAACATCCAAAGGGCTCCCATTAAAATGTTATGTGTTAGTAAAAAGACAGTTAGATTCCTTTGTTTGTATTGGTATATATGTGGAGGGGAGGAATTTGTTTTATATACATAATAAATATATACATTATATATTAAAAGACTTCAATTTTTAAACATCAGCTGACCTGCTACCTCCATATGCCTTCCTTAATTCTGCTGCTCATGCAGTCCAGCTGTGGAAGTGAATCAGGAAAAAGGTATCAAGGAGTAGACGGCCTGGATTGGAGCTTGGTAGATGTGGGGGGAATTGTTGGTACTGTGTAGCTGCCCTAAGTCATTCATTGTGTTCTCTGAGGGGTTTTATGTATTCACCTTCCAACCTAGGAAATTCTGCCAACAGAATTTTATTTCGACAGGTGCTGGTGCCTGCCTCTTGCCTAGGCTTCTGTCAGACATACTGTTTGAGAGGGGAGAGGTGAGGAACAAGAAGGACCTTAATGTTTTGAGAAATTGTGTGGCAGGAATTTGCAACTTTGCTTTGTCCATTTGTTTTCTCCTCATGTGCACCCTCCCCAGCACTTTTTCCTTATTGGTGAATAATCACTTGAGACACGTGGTACCATTATTATTTTAAACTTTGTAGTGGGTCAACTTTTATTTAAGTTAGTTGGATAATGTACTTAAGTTACCATTGCTCAAAGCAGTGAAGAAATCAAGGTAGTAGTAATCTTTTAAGAGTTACATGCCTGTATGATCATATTTTTAAATATATTAATTATCTACAACATTTACTTTAAATATGTATCATGTGACGAATGCCTTAGAAAAATCCTCCTATCCAGCACAGTAGTATTCTTAGATAGTCTTAGATCCCACTTGTTACAGATCTGTCCTGAAGTCCTTGTCTTCTAGTTATTGACTTCGGGTAAATATTAATAAATGAGGAGAAGGTACCTAGTCAGCCAAAGAATTAGGCTCAAAAGATCTATATATGGTAAGTTATTTTTCTAATTAGTAGCATATTGGCAAATAAAGTTTAGAGATGGGCAATGTACTTTACAGGACTTGGAAAAAGAAAATTAATTTGGTAGCACCTAGAATGAAAACCTAGAATTCTGTAGTAATAAAAAATTAACAATTTTTCTAAATTAGTACAGAATTATTCAAATATGTCCCAGCTCCCTGTTGTGTGACAATGAATGTAGTAAATTCTCCTAGGTTACTTTTGTTTGTTTGTTTTGGTAGTAAAAAACATATAACATAAATTTTCCCTCTTAGCAGTTTTTAAGTATGTATTACAGTATTGTTAACTATATGCACATCGTTGTACAATACATCTCCAGAATGTTCCATCTTGCATGGCTAAAACGCTAAAACCACTGAACAACTTCTCATTTCTCCTTCATCTCAGCCACAGCAACCACCATCCTACTTCATTTCCATGAGTTTACCTACTTTAGATACCTCATATAAATAGAATCATACAGTATTTATCTTTTTGTAATTGGCTTATTTTACTTAGCATAATGACAGGATTCACCCAAATTGTAGTGTATCATAGGATTTTTCTTTCTTAAGACTGAATAATATTTTGTGGTATGTATGTACCACATATTCTCTATCCATTCACCTGTCAAAGGCATTTAAGTTGCTTCCACATCTTGGCTATTGTGAGTAATGCTGCAATGAACATAAGTGTGCCAATAGCTCTTTGATATCCTGTTTTCAGTTCTTTTGGATAGATACCCAGAAGTGGGATTCCTGGATCATATGGTGGCTCTGTTTTTAACTTTTTGAGGAACCTCCATATTGTCCTCCATGGTATTAATAGCTGCACCATTTTACCTCCTCACCAGCAATTCACAGGTGTTTCAGTTTCTCCACATCCTCATCAATGCTTGCTATTTTGGGGTGTTTTGTGTTTTCTTATAGTGGCCATCCTAATGGATGTGAATGTAAGGTGATATCCCACTGTCATTTTGATTTGCTGATGATTAGTGATTTGAGCATCTTTCCATATGCATGTTATCCATTTGTATATCTTCTTTGGGGAAATACCTATTCAATTCCTTTGCCCAGTTTTTACTCAGGTTATTTGCTTTTATGTTATTGAGTTATAGGCATTCTTTATATATTCTGTATATTAACCCCTTATCCAGTACATGGTTTGCAAATATTTTCTTATGTGGGTTGCTCTCACTTAGGTTGCCTTTTAACAGCCTGGGACTTACTGTTATTTTACAGCCTCAGCTTACATCTGACTCTGATAATTCACATCAACTGGTTTTCACCCTGATTCTTGCCTAATTCCTAACTCCAGACTTAAATTTTGACCACCCTCCTCTCCCATACTGTCTGAGCTATCTTTACTGACTAACCCTGATTTTTATTTCCCATGACTTCCTCTTTCCTAATGTTTTAGTAAGTGGTGATTTTAAAATAAGGTGTATATTTGATAGAAGACCAGGAAAAACATTATAATCTATTAATTTTGAAAGTAAAAATATGAAATAGAGGTTAAAATCAGTAAGCTCTTATGTTAAAATGTTCAAATTTGAAAATATTCCGTTTGAAAGAAGGTGGGAGGCATGCTGTCTTGAATCAGTACATTTGGTGAGTGTGTGGGATGATAGTCACAGTTGTCATATGTGTGTCCCAAAGTCCTACACCTCTTATTGGCCCACTAATCAAACTAGAAGCAGTTACCTTGGTTTGAAAACGTCACATGATTCTTGTTGAGTGAATCAGTAAATTCCACATTTGCTAAAATAAGTCATTGAATGTTGTGATTGACCAAACATAATGTAGAGTTTATTTCCTAGCAAATAATGAAAGATCGATGGATGAATGTTGGTCATGAGGAAGAAGAACTAAAGCCATATACTGAGCCTGATCCAGATTTCAATGACACAAAAAGAATAGGTAAGTATTTAAATATTGTGAGAAGTATTGTCCCTAGACTATGGGTAAGAGTTCTTTAGTCTACCAAAATAGTACTTAAAAATATAGATAGGAAACAATTTTTATTTGAAAAATACTTGCATTATCATCTTAATGATAATATGCTAAACAATTATAAATTTCAAGTTCCTTAGTTTGTTCTCACGTATATTATAGTCTAACTCAATGGTTGACGACAATGATATAAAAATTAATGTAGATAAATTTAATTCTTTCCTTTCCATGATCCCTCACAGTAGGAATGGCTAATAAATATATCTGTCAGCGCTGGTTAGACTTATAAGTATCAGCAAACATAGCATGTATTTTAACCAAAAATACAGAGCACTGAATTAAAAGAGTTGAACACTTTGGCTTTCACTTTCTGTTTTCCACTATTTTAGCAGGGTCCATTCCTCCTCCCCACTAGTCCTGCTACCGCCTATACCCAGCCAGCACTCTGCTTCTAACTTGTTCTCTTCATTTCTTTATACCTTCCCAGAGCCATCAGAGACTCACAACTAAGTCATTCCGACTGTGTTCCTATTTGGCTCAAGGGCAGAGTGGCAGGGGAGAGCATTTTAGAGTGTTAGGAACCAGATCAGAACATCTGTGGAGGTTCAAGTCTCCCAAAGAAGAGTAACCTACTGCAGATTAGAAAGAGATGTTAAGAGAGGAGAGAAGCCACTCCATGAGTAGCTGAAGATGAGTTGGAGTGAGAATTTTGTGTATGACACAGAGTGACACAGTCTCTAACTAGACAAAGGAAGACAGCTCAGGAATGCACTAGGCACTGAGAAATTGAGTAGGCCTGTGGATATATAACCTATAATGTAGATAATTTCTGCATGAAAAATTATGAACATACAGTGTCCATGAACATAAAGTATCTGTAGGTTAATAATCCAGAAGTTTTTATAATTAAAACTACAGTTTAAATTTTTATGACTTAGTTTTTATATCCAGTATTAGCAAACTTGCCTATTTTTGTTTGTTTACTAAAATAAACCCATTTTCAGAAAATTTGTCTTTTTTTAAAATTTCTAGACATTATGGTCACCATGGGTTTTGCACGAGATGAAATAAATGACGCCTTAATAAACCAGAAATATGATGAAGTTATGGCTACCTATATTCTTCTAGGCAGAAAACCACCTGAAGTAAGTTTTTCAACTTTTTAAATTAATGTGAATCACTTCTTTAGCTACATGACAGCTAAGTATAAGATAGAATGCTAGTGAATATGTCCTATTCTTTATGGCATCAAAAATAATATAAAGACCCTAACATTCATCTTTATTGGAATTCAAAAAACTCAAGATGCTAAATTATGAACTGATTTCATTTCTGGGTTCCAAGAAAGATTTTATGAAAAAGCAGACCTATCACCTTGCTTAGCTCCAAGAGGCAGGCACCTTTTACAGCCTAGTCATCAGAGAATGGTGTCCCCCAGACTTGTGTATCCAAATGCAACACCCCTACGAAAGGTAATATGGTTATTCTGGGTGTGCAGAAAAGACAGTGACTGAAACAGGAAGTGATAGCATTTAAAACAAAAATGTATGTTTTAAATGATTTCTATAACAGGTAACCTAAGGAAAGGTTGTTTGGTGATATTTTCCCTTGTAGTGTCAAGTGGCTTTGTTACATTCAGTTGGGAATTCTCAAGGCCAGAAGAGATCTATAATGAGATAGATTCAGGAAATAACTGTCTATAAATTGTGAACTATGAAAGCAAATGATCCTTTAAGAAAGCAAATATAGAGGGTATAAATTGAGAGTCAAGAACAGCCTAGCAGTGACAGTTTATTGGACATTAGACATCTGTGGGAGGCATTTTATAGAAAACTGAAATTATTTATAAGTAACTGTTAGTGAAGCAACACATTCCAGCTGACATTTATTGAACTTACCCTGCACCAGAAACTATGCTAGGTACTGTGAACAGAAAGATGGAAAAGTCTCTGCTGTCAAGGAGCCCTTGGTCTAGAGGGGAGATGAGCAGTCAATAGTACGGTAGAGTGTGGCGTGTGCTCTGATTAGGGGGATGGACAGGATACTGGGTACCTGCAACAGGCTGATGTCAGACCCACCAAAATGAGTCTGTGTGACATGTAAGAGATAGAATTAACGGTAGTACTTGGTGACCAGTTGGAATTAAGGGATAAGAGCCCCTCAGATTTCTAGCAAAGGTACAAATCTGTACCTTTGCCAAGATAGGAAAGGTGTAGATTTCAGGGGGAAGACAAGTTCAGTTTGGGTTCAATTTGAGATTCCTGTTGGATGGAGCTATGTAGTAGACATTTGGATATAAAGATCTGGATTTGGAGGGAGAGATTTGAATAGAACTAATAGATTTGGAGTCATCATCAGAGGGGCACACGCTGTACACGGTAATGTGCCAGGAACTGTTCTCAGGACTTTACAAGTACTAATTAATCTAATCCTCTCAGTGAACTCACCAGGTAGGTGTTATCATAATGGAAGAGAGGAACTTCAGTAGAGACACTAACAGCTAGATATGTGGTATCAGGGAAACCAAGTCAAGAGAATGTTAAGTGTGAAATAGAACAAATGGTTATTTCTAAAGGCTTTGAACTGTTTCTACTTAGATTTTAAATTTTACTCTTAAGATCTTTAGTTTTCCTCCTAATTTCAATATAAAGCAAGCACAAATTTTATAAATATACAGCAGGGCCCATGCATGAATTAAAGTATGAATTATATTGAATATAAACTAATGGGGGTACTGTAAATATTAAGAGCTTGAACTTTGGGGCTAGGTTCACTGGATTTGAATCCCCACCCCAGCACAGCCACTAACTATGCAACTGAGGCAGTTTACTTAATTTTCTGTGCCTTAGTTTCCTTATCTATAAAATGAGGATAATAATAGTACTTATCTTTTAGGTTCATTGAGAGGGTTAAATGAATTAATACTTGTAAAGTCCTTAGAATAGTTCTGAGCAGATTACTGTGTGCTCTGTTTTACCTATTATCTATTATAATTGTCATCAGTATTATTCTGCTTTTTGTCATTAGTGTCCTCTCTATCTGAATTTAGATTTCCCATTGGATGCCAGTGATGCAGTCAAAAGTTTGCTGGCAACAAACAACTTTTGTGTTATAGGGAGGGGGTGGTGTATCAACCCCAATTAACTGCGCTTAGTTCTAAGTAGATGAATTTCCTGATCAAAGCCAATAAACCAACAATTGTTTTTGTAAATGTGGAGAAAACAAACAACAATATATATATGTGAATGTACACGTGTATGTGCATATGTATGTGTATAGACATATGTATGTGTATTTAAGATTTTAGATTTTATCTTAAGTTTGAATCTCAACAATATTCCTTGACTCTCTTAACCTCAGTTTTTCCATCTCTGAAGTGCAGGTTAATACATCATAGGTTTGTTGTAACGAGTAAACAAAGTAATATACACAAAGAGCTTGGCAGGGTGCTTAGTATACAATAACCATTCAGGAATTGGTAGCTATTACTTGGTGTTTGACTAAACTAAGGATTTATACATGATAGCAGATGACTACGAATTCACATTGATGTTCTCTCCCTTCCTGCTTGCCAACTTGAAGTTCTGTGTCCAAAACCACACTGTTTTAGTTCTGATTACTCCTTATATAGCTTTGAAGTATTCAGAAAATCAAGAAAATATGTTGTTTGTATAAACTTTTTTTGTTTTAAAATCCTGATTGTCTTTCTTTATCTTACAGTTTGAAGGCGGTGAGTCATTATCCAGTGGAAACTTGTGTCAGAGATCCCGGCCCAGTAGTGACTTAAACAACAGCACTCTTCAGTCCCCTGCTCACCTGAAGGTCCAGCGAAGCATTTCTGCAAATCAGAAGCAGCGGCGTTTCAGTGATCATGGTGGGGGAAACAGTCAAATAAGTGAAAAGACACACTGGTTCTACCCAGACTTATGTTTTTTTAAACATCATATGTTCATACCTCTGTGTGCTCATGTCATCCAGTTCTCACACATTTATATTACTTTGCAGGGACTGATCCGAGTTTTTAATCAGTTTAATCTTAGTTCAGAGTATAAAACATGCAAATAAAGATAAGTTTAGTACAGGGTTTTTGTTTGTGAGAAGAAAATATTTCAGTTTTTCAGCTAATTATACTAATTTTTGTAAAATTGTAGCTGGTCCATCCATTCCTCCTGCTGTATCATATACCAAAAGACCTCAGGCTAACAGCGTGGAAAGTGAACAGAAAGAGGAGTGGGACAAAGATGTGGCTCGAAAACTCGGCAGCACAACAGTTGGATCAAAAAGCGAGATGACCGCAAGCCCTCTTGTAGGGCCAGAGAGGAAAAAATCTTCAACTATTCCAAGTGTGAGTAAATAGTCTGGTATATTGTAATTTGTTATCTTTGTTGGTTTTCAGAGTTTTTTGTAAAAAGTTTATTTTTTTTTAATGTTTCAAAATCTTTAAATGAATCCATTTAAAGAACACACAGAGGGAGCTGAGCTTCTCATAAATGCAATTTAAGAACAAAAGAAAATGAGAATTCTTAAAATAACACTTAACTTCACCACAAAATGGAACATTAAACTTTCCTGCTTCATTTTTTCCTGTTTGTAATATTTGCTTAAAATTATATTACCACATTTAACCTTATATTTACAAATAAGCTATTTATTAAAGGTAGACTCAGCTAATAATTAGTTTATAGAGTTACCTCACATTATTCACTTAAAATATCAAATTATAGAAATTATATAAAGGGAGCTAGAAGGGAAATTAAGATGCCCTACTGTAAGACAATAGGAAAGAATAGAGATAGCAAATACAAAAGAAAACTAAGATATATGAAGACTAGGAATAGAATTGGCAACATTCAGATAATACTGTGTTTCCCCACAAATAAGACCTACCCATAAAATAAGCCCTAGCAGAATTTCTAAGCATTTGCTCAATATAAGCCCTACCCCAAAAATAAGACCTCGTGATGGGCGTGGCTACACAGTGTATCTGCACAACATGAATTTTCATCGAGGAGCGGTAAAGAAGATGAGCAGCCCTTCTCATCTGTCCCATGAGAGCTCTGTTGCTCAACATGAGAGATTGGGGCCAATGGTTCTAAAGGAAATAGAGTCGCAAGAAATTCAGGATGGAATTCCAGGTTTGGAGAGTTATGATGATGTTCCAGAAAAAGACAACTTACTATATTTGAATAAATGTAGATTGTTGTAGCGTACTTAAAAAAAATAACACATCCCCTGAAAATAAACCCTAGGGTGTCTTCTTAAGGAAAAAATAAATATAAGACCCTGTCTTATTTTCAGGGAAACAGGGTAGGTATCTTGAAAGGAAAGGAGGCAAAATGAAAGGGAGGAAATAATTGAATAATAATAACAATGAATAAAGGAAGAGAAGACTTCATATTGAAATGACTCAGAATAGCAAACAGAAGCTAGAAGACTCTGCACTTATTAAAGTGGAATGTATAGACACTAAAATTAATCAAAAAACTTTTAAAAGATTCCAAAATGAGGAACAAGATTCAGATTGACCTCAGATTTCTTAACAGCAACATGGATGCAGAAGATAAATGGAGTGATATTTTTAAAGTACTGAAAGAAAAGTGCTTTAAACCTATCATTTTTTATCTAGCTAAATTGTCATTTAAATGTGAAGGTATTATAACATATTCTAGGCATAAAATGTCTCAACTGTTTGGTTACACAGTGACTACTTGAAAACACCATAGTTGGAGGAAGTAGTCTTACAGGAAGAGAAATAAATCTAGAATGTTGCTGTAAAATATATACAAGTTGAAAGTCATCAAATGACTTAGTTATGCATGTAGTAACATACACAGAAAAAGAAAAATAATGAAACTTCAAACCAAAATTCTGGGCAATATCCAGAGCATGAGGATAGGGGTGCAGATTAAAAGAATATAAACACACACCTTGTTAGGCAGATGACAGGAACAAGTTTAAGAAATCAATAGTGGTAAGCAAACACAAGTTCAGGAACTTAAGGCCAAAAATAGAATTATAACTTTTAAACCAACAGAAGGAGGGGAAAAAAACCTTGATCTAGCCTATGGACAGGAGGAAAAAAGTACCTTAAACAGAAAACATGAAGATACCAAAAAGCCGAATATATCCTTAATTGCAAATGGGTTAAACTCCCCAAGAGAGAGTATTTCATTTAGTCAATTGAAGCCATACTTTTTTTTTTTTTTTTTTTTTATCTGGGACAGAGTCTCACTCTGTTGCCCGGGCTAGAGTGCTATGGCATCAGCCTAGCTCACAGCAACCTCAAACTCCTGGGCTCAAGCGATCCTCCTGCCTCAGCCTCCCAAGTAGCTGGGACTACAAGCATGCACCACCATACCCGGCTGATTTTTTTTTTAATATACATGTTTTAGTTGTCCAACTAATTTTCATATTTTTAGTAGAGACGGGGTCTCACTCTTGCTCAGGCTGGTCACGAACTCCTGAGCTCAAACAATCACCCACCTCAGCCCCCCAGAGTGCTAGGATTATAGGTGTGAGCCATCACACCTGGCCATACCTTTTTTGACTATATTATGATTATGTATTATTTGAATGTGTTTGTATGATATCATTAGATTATCACCTTCTAGTCTGTGAAACAGATGTGCATAACCACTTTAAGAATTTATGTGTATAACCACTTACCTCCCAACTTATATGTTTGGAAATGATTCAACTATAATAGGGTTTAATGTATTTTTTTTTTTAAGTAATTTTCCTAGGGAAGCCATCATGTCCTTCATTAGCTGGAGGTCAGTTTCCAGTGTCAGCACCCAACAAAGCAGAAAGAAAGAAAGAAAATTTGGTCCTGTATTTTCTACCACTCCCCTAATTAACCTGTCATTTGACTCAGCTTGGTTTTATTTTCCCATGAGCATACTCAGTTTTGCCTGTCTCTGAGCCTGTCTTTATGTGGTGCTCTTGCCTAAAGTTCCCACTTTACGTTATGGAAATCCCATTTCTATAGGTCATTTCTAGTCCTATTTCCTGAATGGAGCATCCTGTGACTAACTACTACAAATCTCATCAGCCCTTATGATTACTATACCTTGTTTTTTAACACTTAACTATTTATAGGGTGTCTTGTTTTGTTCACTGGTGTTTCACATTAAATAATTTTCTCCCAATTTTTAGCTGTTGTGGTATTGACACAATAGCTTCCTCTGAATTATTAGTGCCAAAGCATATAGTGTGGGTATTTAAAGTAATATTTAGGGGGGGGGGGGGTTTGTGCCGTCTGGTGCCTCCGCTGTAATCTTACACTCTGGGAGGCTGAGCGGGAAGGATCACCCTCACAAGCCCTCCAGTGCGACAGTGTCCAAAAACCAAGCACCTGCCACGCCCAGACCCGACCCCGTCTCTGACTAAAATGTACAAAGACATTAATGTGCAACTTAAATATTATGCGGGAGAATACATAAATAGCTTGCCATGGTGGCACCATGCCTTAGTCGCGGCCTCACGCAAGCTACTCGGGAGGCTGAGGCAGAAGGATCTCTTGAGCCCAGGAGTTTGAGGTTGCTATAAGCTAGGCTGACTCCATGGCACTCTAGTCTGGGCAACAGAGTGAGACTCTGTCTTAAAGAAAAAAAAGCATCTTTATTAGTTTAAAGAAGGGATAAAAAATTAAAATTAAGGGATTAGTTTAAATTCAGATTAATTAGACCATACTTATCCTCATTTTCTAAAATATAAGCCAAAAGATTCAAGTAGAGAAATTCCCTTCTTAGCCACTTAATACTAGATTTTTAAAAATTACTATTTTAATTTTGGTCAATGGAGAAGCCAAAATATATATTTTGTTTAATTTTAGCAATTCAGAAGTTTCTAAAATAAAAATTAATAGTCTCCTCTTTCTCTCCATTACCTTCCATTCTTGACTCCCAATATATACCTAATCCGTATATTCGTTAATTACTTAAGGTAAATTCTCCTATAGGCTTTCCTTTGTTAAAGAAAATATAAGTGAATATACATACACATACAGGATTATTGTATTTTACTTTTTATAAATATGAGAATCATCATATTTATATAAGAAAGCTAACACATTCCTAATTTTTCTCACTTACAATAGTATGGGGTCTTTCTAGATCAGCATCTTTTTAACAGCTGTATATTATTTCATTGGTATTAATAGATAGATATAATGTCATACTTTATTCAACTTTTCTTTTGGTGAGGTGTTCAGAGTTTTCCATTTTTCAGAGTGTACATCCTTGTACATTTATGTTACTAGTCTATTTCTGTTAAATATATTGTCAAAAGTTCAACCTCGGGGTCTACATGACCATGCTTGTTTGAACCCCAGCTATGAAGAGTCGGGCTCCTCACGCTCCTCAGCCCATGCATGGCACACGGTCACCTTCGTCTTTGCGGGGGCCCGTCCTCACTCCCACTCACCTCCCCAAAAGCTCCAACTCTGAGGTGTTCTAATGGATGTCCTTGAGTGTGTGTGTATCCTTGGGATAGAACATTTAAATTTTTAATAAATGCTATTGTAATAATTTTCTAGGTAGGATAATTTGAGAGTAATTATTTCTCCACAAGCTCATCAACAACTGGATATTACCGAGCTATAAAATTTTTGCCAATCTGAAGGGGAAAAAGAAACACATGCCCTTTTGGTTTTAATTTGCATTTTCCTGACTGCTGGCCCAGTAGTGGGCCAGTACTGACAACAGTGTGGCCCACAAATCCTGAAGTGTTCACTGTCCGACTCTACAGAAAAAGTTTGCTAACCCCTGCTTTAAAGCCAAAATATACAACTTTAGTGCCTTTTTTGAGGTAATTTCTAAGGTAGAAGGAACTTGAGCGTTTACGATTTAAGCTCTGTTATATTGTAAATTATTGACTGAACACATGAACATTTTTACAAGTGACTCTATTATTTGTCAGCAAAATGGAGTATATTGGAAAATACCTAATCCATTCAAATGATGTGACATGGCTCCTTACTTTCTAATGGAAAAAGAAATAATATCCATAACTTTCATAGATAATTTAGTAGGCGATAGTTTGGTAGTGAATTTATTATCTATAAAATCAGAAACTTTTTTTATTAAATAGTAAAGCCTCTTGCTTATAAGTATGATTCTGTGACAGTATTATTTAACATTAATATATTAACTTAAGGGTTGTATTGTCAGATAATATTTTAAACCGACCAGTTGATAAGACATCAAAGGGGAGAGTCTTGAGTTAAATAGATTAATGGGTAGAGAAAGTTTTGGTTAATTATCTGAACCATCTGTTTCTTTATTCATCACCCATAACCATCACAGGCTATAAATGATAGGAGTGTATCTTAGCCGTTTGTGTTGCTATAAGAGAATACCACAGACTGGATACTTTATAAAGAAAATAAATTTATTTCTCATAGTTCTGGACGCTGGGTAGTCCAGTATCAAGGTGCAAGCATCTGGCAAGGGCCTTTTTGATGCGTCATCCCGTGGCAGAAAGGCAAAAGGTCAGAGAGCAAGAGGGGGCCAGACTTGCTTTTGTAACAAAGCTGCTCTTGAGATAACTAACCCACTGCCACAGTAACTATCCATGCAGACATAGCGCTCGTCAACTAATCACCTCTAGTGGACCACACCCCCCAGCACTGTGGCATTAGGGATTTTCCAACACAGGAACATTGGGAGGCACAGTCATACCCATTGCAGAGTGTTACTATTTGTAAGGGAACTTAGGATTTTCCTTCTAGAAATTCGCATTCAAAAATGACATATGGGAGTTAATAGAAAACCTTTGGTTAGCCAAGAAACTTGGAAGAATAAAAATATATTATGCTGTTTTTTAATCAAGACGACAATAAAACTTGTCAATGTACTTTTCCATATTATCTATCATATGTGTTTGAACAATACATAATATAAACTGTGAACTGCCATGATCCGAGTGTTTGTGTCCCTTTCCAAAATTCATATGTTGAAATCCTAATCCCAAAGGTGATGATATTAGAAGTTGGGGCATTAAGGAGTTGATTAGGTCACGAAGGCAGAACTCTCACAAATGGGATTGGTGCACCCTTATAAAAGAGACCTGAGGGAACTCATTCTGCCCTCTGTCATGTGAGATTACAGCAAAAGACAGCTGTCTGGGAAGCAGACACTCACCAGATGCTGAATCTCCTAGCATCTTGATCTCCCAGCATCCAGAACTGTGAACAACAAATTTCTGTTGTTTATAAGCCACCCACCCTGTAGTATTTTGTTATAGCAGCCCAAATGGACTAAGACATGAACTCTAAGAAAAATGTTAATCAACTTTTTTACAAAATGAGGAGAAGGAGAGTTTACTTCTTTAAGGAGACTCAGAAAGATTAAAAAATTCTATAATAATTATAAAATATTATATATAAAAAGTATATAATTATAGAAATATAATTGTTTTACTGTAAAAGAAGCCCAAAGAAGTTGTTTATACGGTTGGCTTCCACTTTGGGGAAGTTGCCAAACTAGAATTCAGGAGTCTGCAAGGGTAGTTTCCACCTGATCCCCACATCTTCAACAGAATGAGCATTACCTGCTCAGCAGTCACTAGAGCAGGCGTCCTCAAACTACGGGACAAGGGCCACATAGGGCGGGCTGAGGACATTTATCTGGCCGCTATGTGTTTTTGCCACCACTGCCTGTCCTGCTTAGCAGCCAACTTGTCCCAGGCCCACAGTGCGCATGTGTGGAATGTGCGCCGCACTCTCCAATGGCCCTCAAACGGTCTGAGGGACAGTGAACTGGCCCCCTGTTTAAAAAGTTTGAGGACCCCTGCACTAGAGTTTTGTTACTTGAACTAGGAAGATCAACTATAAAAGTATGTTTTTTTATAGGAACCTGTGTCAAATGGATTTGGTGAGCCTGTGCTTCCATAGCTTAACTTTTACATATCCTAAATTTAGCTTGGGAAAATACAACTTAGGTACTTAGTTTGTAATTTATACCTTTTTTTATGTAACTGGTGACAAGAGTCATTCCTCCTAGGAACCTGCACTGTACAATTTTGTATATGTGATTTTTTTTCCTTCTCCAAACTGAATTCAAGCAAATGTCATCTTTCTAGCCTTCGTGATTAAACAAATTTAGATTAATTATGTATTTTAAAGAATAGTGAAAGTTGGGCCAGGTGCGGTGGCTGACGCCTGTAATTCTAGCACTCTGGGAGGCCGAGGCGGGTGGATTGCTCAAGGTCAGGAGTTCAAAACCAACCTGAGCAAGACCTCGTCTCTACTAAAAATAGGAAGAAATTAATTGGCCAACTAAAAATATATAGAAACAATTAGCTGGGCATGGTGGCACATGCCTGTAGTCCCAGCTACTTGGGAGGCTGAGGCAGGAGGATCGCTTGAGCCCAGGAGTTTGAGGTTGCTGTGAGCTAGGCTGACACCACAGCACTCTAGCCCAGGTAACAGAGTGAGACTCTGTCTCAAAACAATAATAATAATAATAATAATAGTGAAAGCTGGATTAGCCAAAACTAGGGATTTTTTTTTTCTGTTGGAATAAGGATTAGACAGAAGAGTATTTTATCCCTTTTGAAAATCATTTGTGAATATTTTATTGCTGGTAACTAGTCAAGATTTGGGTATGCACAACAACAGGGGTTATAGGTCAAATGTTGTGTGCGTAGTAAGGAGAATCACCCATCTATCTATTCCTTTTTGCTTATTTTTTTTCTCTTTTCTCCAAAGGTCCTCAGAGTTGGCCTGCCTTTTGGCCAAAACCTGAGTGAGACTAGAGGAAATATCCTCTCTGGCACTGTACAGACCTCTGTTGGTGGCCTCAGCTGAGCATGCCTTTGATCCTGGAGCTTTAGTCTCCTTACTGTTCCCATTGGCTGGGGGTGGGGTGTTCCCTCAGGCTTCCGAGTGGGCGTGCTGTCTTCATGCCACAGCTTCCTGTTGGTGATGATACTCAGTGTGGGGTTGACTCTAGCTCCCAGTAACTTAGGGCTGCCTGTACCCCTGCTGTGCCATTTCCCTACCACCAGCTCACAGGAGAGAGTGAATACAAACCCAGCTTTCTTGTTGCTTCCAAACAGCTGCTGGCTACTGCTATAAGAGAGTAAGCTAAACCTCCTAAAACTTTGTTATGCTTTGCATTTTACTTCTGAAATCTAAGTAACACAGAGAGAGGGGCAGGAGATAGATCTTACTAATATAAGATGCTGATCAATTAAAATTCTACAAAACCAGTTTAAATTCATTTCTTTGACTTTCCACAAATATAGTTAGAATTTTAAATTTTTTGTCTTCTTAAAGAACAACGCATATCCTGGAGGTAGCATGGCAAGAAGGAATACCTATGTTTGTGAAAGGACCACGGATCGATACATGGCATTACAGAATGGAAAAGACAACAGGTAAAAGTTGTAGTGCCAAGTAGTAATACCTTTGCTATTATTCTGTTAGTGCTCTTGCTGAAATGACTGCAAATGAATGGGTCAAGGGAAAAGGAAATACAAAGTAATAAGATTGCAACCAACCATTCTTACTAAGGCATCTCCCCTTCTGTACCAATGTGGAAGGATGGGAAAATATTTAGGGAAATCAGGAGGTAAATTTCTTCCCCTGTGAATTTCTGAGTAAAATCTGATAGTATTTCCCTATAACAAAGCAAGTCAAACCATCATAATCTAATCTTTATAATATGAATCTACTCTCTTATGTACCTGCTGCCTCCTTCTTCCCTCCTTCCCTGACCCCCTCCATCAAGTAATTATGTATCTAAACAATAAAGGCTTTATTTTCCTTCCTCTAAAGAAATATGGCCATCTCAACTGATCATTGAGAACCACACAATTCTTAAAGTGTTTTCTTTCAAATGATAATAAATTATATTACTTTTATTATTTAAAAAATTTAACTTCTTTCCATCATGAGTTAGAAGGACCACTCATCAATACAGTACAAAGACATGGAGCCTATTCTAATAAAGTCCTGTTCTTAGTACTAGCTCTAGTCATTTCAGTAGAGTGAACAGACCACTCTTACATTTGTTCCTTCTCAGTTAGCAGGTGTGTAAAGTAAGTGTTGTAAGGCATACAAAGATAAGTGTTGTATCTTCCTTGGACATAACGTCTTTTAGGCTAGAAAGATAACTGTAAATTAATTTCAGACTTATGATTTTTTTTCTATACTAAATCCTAATCTGCAACTCCTTTAATATACAACAGTTAACATGTTGATTCATGATCTAAAAGCGTTTTGATGATGGTTCTGGGAGTAATATTTTTTGAATAATTATGAATTCTTACTGTGTGAACTGCAATGAACACATCATACAAACTGTGATTTTTAGGTAGTGAAAAGTGTCTCCAAATATAATCATTTTATCTGAAACTGTCATTCAACCACAAAAATAATTTTGTGCCTTCTCATATTCACATACAGAGAGTATGTGTGAGATCTTTTTCATAGAAGATAGTGATAAATTCACCCTGTATAGATTTAACAAGAAGATTGTTTTATTAGTCACGAATAATGCCACTAATGTTAGTTTCTTTTAAGTGTTTCAGTCATGAAGAGTGTTAGTCAATCTGGATTTTTAAAAATCTAGTTGTTAAAGTTTAGTAAACTGTGGTTTTCCTTCTTTTTTATATTTCCACGGTCTTCTCAACTGCTCTATGTCGAAAGCCTTACAGAGATGTCTGTGAGTAGCATTCCTTCCGCAGGCTCTTCTGTGGCCTCTGCTGTCCCCTCAGCACGACCCCGCCACCAGAAGTCCATGTCCACTTCTGGTCATCCCATTAAAGTCACACTGCCAACCATTAAAGACGGCTCTGAAGCTTATCGGCCTGGGTAATGTGTTGGTTACCTTTCATTTTGTTTGTTGAGAATTTTAACCGCTATAGCACCATGTGAAAATGATAGTCACCACCACATTAAGAGCTCTCTGAAAAGATTCAGTGTCTGTGGCAGAAGAAAAGTTGAATTGTAACATGAACTTACTGTGTACTACTTTAGCTGTTAATGAAAATATTGCTTATAATTTAAATCATTTTCTAGAGGAATTTTTTTTAAAGATTTTATTTTAAATCTGTCAAGTAAAGTATTGCTGTCTAATATATCATTTAGGTAAATTGAATTTTTTTATGATTTAAATACACAGACAAAAAACCACTAGACTGGGAGGTGAAACCCCTGGGTAGTTGTCCTGACTCAGTTACTTGTTCTTAATAAAACTGGGCTTTAGTTTTCCTGTCAGTGAAACAGATGAACTCAAAGAGCCTGTTCAGGTATAAAATTATATATAATATTTATTGTCTATTTTAGGATCTCTCAAATTCAGAACATCTGAACTTTTTAGCCCTTTGATCGTTAGGTTTGTTGGCCATACTGGTAGTGTCATGGAGCATTGTGCTATCACCAGTGCCTAGATTGGAAATCGGAAATGATTTTACTCAAAGGCTTTTTAATAAACAATAAAATCTGTGTTCTACATTGTGACCTGGTTTAAATTGAAAGTAGTAAAAAAAATATGTGTAACATCCCTAGTTTGGCATTCCTCTTACTGCAAAGCCTTTGTCTTTGTTTCCTTGTTTCAGTAATATCTTCATCTTTGGTGCCCAAATTTTTATAAAAGACATTTAGTTTCAAACTGAAATTTTATCCCTTTATAATGATATAATAAATAAAATTAACCCATATCTTTCATCTCTAATGTGAACAAATAAAATAGGACCGAAAGAAGTAGCCATAGCCTTTTTTTTCCCTCCAGTTTTTAGCATGATTGAAAGCTTTTGCTGTCCTATTATAAATAATATATCTTAATTTGTCCCAGCAGTACAACCCAGAGAGTGCCTGCTGCTTCCCCATCTGCTCACAGTATTAGTGCTTCCACTCCAGACCGGACCCGGTTTCCCCGAGGGAGTTCCAGTCGAAGCACTTTCCATGGCGAACAGCTTCGGGAGCGACGCAGCGCAGCTTATAACGGGCCACCTGCTTCACCGTCCCACGAAACGGGCGCATTTGCACACGCCAGAAGGGGAACGTCAACTGGTATAATAAGCAAAATCACATCCAAATTTGTTCGCAGGTCAGTCCCAATATACTGTCGTGTTTTGTTTCCTCTGTGAGTTATAAAGGAAACTTGATTTTTTTTCTTGAATCTTTTTAGTGATTTTCCAAAGTGGTTTCATGACATTTCATTAGAGCTGCTCTTTTAACAGAGTTGCAAGGGGAAAAATCCAGGAAGACACAAAGTCTTTTTCCTAAAGAGAGAGAAACAAAAAAATGGACTAAATAAGAATTTTAAAATTCTGTAAAATAAAGTGGAAAGAGCAAAACTTGACACCAAAAATGTGTTTTAACACAAAGATTATCTCCTATTTAAAAGCCTTGATTTAGAAAAAGGAATTAAATATGAGTTTACATGTATCCTTCAAATATTTATCTTAAAAATACTTTTAAATTGTTCACTAATAACATATAGTTTAATTTTTTCACAGTTGTACCCTTTTCTAAAAAGTGAGCATATATGTACAGTGCCCAGTGATGATACAAGTTGCTGAACACAGTGCAGGTTGATCTAAATTTGACTAATTACTATGTCTCACTAAATGCCTACTTAAGCCCTGTCTCATACAAAGCAGTTTCTTAGGTGCAGAGCAGGATATAAAGATGGATAAAACGGCATCTATGCCCTCCAGATTCTTACCGTCTTGGAAGAACTGCTTCCAAGACATGTAAACAGCTGGCCGTGATATAAAGCAGAATGTGTGCTAAAAAAGGAGTGTGGGCAACTTGCTGAAGGAGTTCAGAGGAAGGCACAGTAGTTCCTGTCGAAGGGGGGACGTGAAGGTTCCATGTCATATAGTTGTTTGAACTGAGGCTTCACTGATGAGTAAGAAATTATTATACTTCCTGTAAAGAATATTAATTAAATACTTAATTTTCAGTGTTATTGGTGTTCCTTGGATTTCAAAGAGTAGATGTGGAAAAGAGAAGAAGCAGCTTTAGTACCATGCCTTTTCATGGAGCTATTTGTAGACTCGACTCACAGATCAGTTTGCCCAGGATCACAGAACTGAATTTAAAACTTTAAATCCTCAAATGTAACATTAGTTTCTAACCGTATCAATAAATGAGTTTGTGCCATTTGGGCAATTACTCTGAAACATGACAACTTGATAAACGAAGCTGAAAGCTCACCAACAGTCAGCATGAAAGTTAGATGATAGTGTTAGTTGACCATCTGCAGGGGACTAGTCAGATTATCCGTAGTTTCTGCTTTTGGAATTTGGCTGACTAAGGCCATTTTGGAAAGCCAAGTACTTTCTCGTGGTTAAGCCAGGATAGGATTAGTTTTAAAATGAAGAAAAATAGGTTTTGAGTTTAGTGCTGGATTACTAATTGTGCATTAATCATTCTGCAAAATATTTCTTTTTACCTTGCAATAAAAAATTAGATTCTAAAGGAAACTTAGTAAAGAATATTCTGGATAAGAAGTCAAGAAACAGAATGTCAGAGCAAGAAAGGGCCTGTTGGGAGGTTGGATAAAGGATCTCCATACAGTCATTTAACAAATACTTAAAGACCTACTACGTGCTGGGCATTTTCCTAAGAGCTGTTGATATAGCAGGAAGTGAGGCTAATATGGCGCCTTCCTGTGAACTACTTACTATCTTGAGACATTCCACACGGTTGAAACATTTCTCTCACTTGGCTCTGGTTTTGTCCTGGCTCACATGCTAGCTATCCCTTCTCTTTGCTGGTTCTTTTTTCGGTTCCCTTGCCTTTCTCCCTAACCTCTGAATGTCAGAATGCCTGAGGGCTCAGTCTTTGTACATATTCTCCTCTTGGGTTTTCCTCACTCTCTTGGTGATCTCATTCAGGTTCATGACATTAGATTCCATCTATGAACAACTCCCAGATATATTATATCTTTAGCCAGACCTCTCTCCAGAACTGCAGACTCGTCCAGTTGCCTGCTCAGCCTCTCCATTTGGATGTGTTATAGACTCTCAAACAGAATGTGTTCAAAATTCAACTCCCAGTCCTCTTCCAAATGTACCCCTCCCTTATTCTTTACCATTTTAGGAAATGATAGCACCACCTTTTTAGTTGCTCAGATTACAAACCTTGGAATTAACCGTGACACCTCTGTCCCTCATGCCACATATGAGAGCCACGGGTGGGCTGTGCTGGCTCTGCCACCTTCACAGCAGTTCCAGGATTTGGCTGCTTCCATCATTCTTGCCACTGCCTTCATAATCTAAACCACTGTCGATCTTGCACCTCCTGTTAGGTCTCCTAGCTTCTGTCCTTGTCCTCCTATTTGGTTGTCAGCAGTGTAAGTCTGATTGTGTCACTCTTTGATTTTTAAAGCCCTTGATTAGCTCTCATCTTGCTCCGAATACAATTCAAAGCCTTCACAGTGTCCTATAAGGCCCTATGTTGTCTGGCCACCCAATTATGCTCTGACCTCTTCCCCCTCTTCTTCTCCTACTCTTCCCCTTGCTGGTTCCACACCAGCCACACGGGCACCCGACTGTCCTCAGGTCTACCAGGCACACCCACTTCAGGATTTTGTGCTTGCTGTTCCTTCTGCCTGGAATTCTCTGCCCAAGATAACCTGCATGGCTTACTTCTTTTACACCAAACCTTATGATTTCTAACAAAAGATCATTCTTAGCCCATTAGGGAATAATCTAACTTGTTCAGTTGAGTATATGTTGCTATATATAAGGTATTAGGTATAAGTGTTAGAGAACCATGCCATGCTGCATATGCTGTTAAAACCAGCTGTGCCTTCTGTAGCCCCATCTGCCTCCCACCATGCCTACTTACAGCACACTTCCTGGGCTGTTTGAAACAATTGCCAAGCAGCAGAAATTCTTCCAGTCGGTGTTCCTACTTGCAACCAGGTAGGCAGGAACCAGGCTATGGGCCAATTGCTATTTCAGCTACTTGTAGCAGAGGAAGTGAGGTCTGATGGACATTTCCCTCCTAATTCCTAAAGTTTGGCAACAGCAAAATAGATATGTGCTAACAGTGAGTTATAAGACAAAATATAAATAGGACAGAAAAGTCCAGTGAAACTTATGTCCCTTCCTATTACAGGAATTTTATCTTAGCAGCAGGAGTCAACAGCTCTTTCTTGCCAAGTTGGTACACTGCCCTTCTGTATATGTCAGTTCACCTACATGTAACTGAAAATGTACATTTCACTTTGAACCTACTCAAAAATGTTTTATTTCTTTCAGTGTGCTATAATAGAAAAGATTGATATAGATGGCATTGAATTTTATTATACTTCCCAATAAAAATGCCAGTTATTAAAAATAGAAATTTAAGAAACTCCATTTGAATGTGAGAATACATTTTATTATCCTTTAACTCAGATAGAAAAATGGTTTTTGTGCAATATGTTTGTTAAGAAAGGCCTTGAGAGGCATGAGGCCAGTTAAAGACCGTGAAAAGCATGAGGCATTCATATTCTTAATAACCATTTAAACTGTTTTTAGAGCTTGGTATGTGGATGTGTTGCTTTAATTTGAGGGATGGGAGAGGGCACTGATTTTATTTCTGTTGCATTCATTTTACATAAGTAATAAAATGTTCCTGGAATGGCAAGACAACATTAACTTAAGAAATCAAGTTGGCGATTTTTCCCAACTATTTAATAGTATTTCACTCTCTGTCACAAGATATGTAATTACCTTTAAAAACAACAAAGTGGTTAAAATTTTGGTAGACTTCAAAAATATTAATTATATTCAACACAAGGACAATTAGTAGTGTTTTCCTGATTTTATTTCACAGGTGAATATACAGGTAAGATCAGTGTTTTTGTTTAAGATTGAATCTGTGTTTTTAGACTCACCTGCTTGGATAGGCTTTGGATTTGCTTTAGTATTTTTATCATGTGCATGAATTGTTAGCATAACTTCTGAAATAAATTAATTGCTTATTTTAAAGTTGATATTTAGTTTTAGAAATATTTACCTATGTGTTGAGCTTTATTTCTAACTACAAGTTAATTTATATTTTCTCTAAATTGAGCGACTACTAGAATTATATGTAATAACAAATATGACATTGAATCTTGCTGTTGACAATTATTAAATAGTTTTAACTTTAGATTAAACTAAACCAAAAGATAAATTATGACTTTAAAATTGTGGCTGGGAATTGGAAGATCACGTAAAAAAAATTTCTAAACTTTCACCTAGTATCTCCTCTTGATAATACCCAGTAGACGCTCAATGAATGATAGTTACATGTGGTTATGATGGAAAACATGAGAAATAGTATTAGACTAATAATAGAAAACTGTCGTGGTAGAAGTTTGCTCAACAAGTTAATTTTAAAATCATTTTAGATGTAGGTTTTCTTGATATATTTTTCACTTTTATCATTAAATCTCATCCTTCACTTTGTTTTGAGGGATCCAAGTGAAGGCGAAGCCAGTGGCAGAACCGACACCTCAAGGTGAGGAGCCACTATTAATCCTTCACTGCCAGGTCCCTGTGGATGAAAGCATACTTTTGAAATACTTGTAGCACTTAATAATCATGAATACAACTAATAACTAGATAGCATGTATATTTTAAATTTTTATATTGGGGTGGGTTTTTATAATGTTGCCTAGCATTTAAGTTTAAGTTAATGAACTTTAACTTTGTTTTCCAGACATTATTTTGAATTGTACACTTGGTAGAGAAATAGTTTTCTGATGTATAAAATATGCCATAACAGAAAAATTAATAGATTAAAATGTACTGATCTTTTTCTCAATAAAATGGTGTAACCAAAATTAGTCTGGGTCAAATAGCACAAATAACACAGAACACTGAGATGATTAAATATATAGGAAGATTTGATATTAGTAATATATTTTCGATGAGAATTCAGTGTTGGACCACATTTTAAAATTATCCTGCCATACTTTATGTTGTTGTTTTGTTTCATTTTATTGACACTTAGGACTAGTTGCATATTCATTCTGGTGGTGGGTTTCAAACAGGAGCACACTCGGAATCACAGGGAGGACTTGCTAAAAAGATTGCTGAGCCCACACCCCTGACTTCCTGTTCAGCTGGTGGGGAGGGGTGGGGGCTGAATATTTGAGTTTCTAACAAGTTTCCAGGAGATGCTAATGCTGCTGCTCCAGGGACCACATTATGGACACGTTAGTACTTGGGTTCACATTTTATAAATGGGAAATTTAAGAAATGAAGGCATTAAATTATCTTGAGTGTACACAAGCATTAAGGGATGCAATATAAACCTTAGAACCAACAAGTAATGCCACAGTAGGATAGACGTCTGGCTTCCTTCAGGAGCTATTTTGACCAGCTGAACACAAGCCTCTAATTTAATTTTTACTTTTTAAATTATTCAAAATATAAAAACATCATGAACTTTGGAAAAACTTTACTAAGCATTGCTGTGTAGTCTTTTTTTTACAAACTGTGCTATATTTATGTTTACTAATAATAGTTGCAATGTTTCTTTGTAGAGTTAGGTACCTGAGTCACCATGGTAGGAAGCCAAAAGGAGACAAGACAAATATTTTTAACTTTGTTCTGGATTTTAAATAAACATGGGAGACTTTTTTAGTCCCTCCCCTACTTTGTCTTCACTTTGGAGCGTCCTCCTTGCATCTCATGCTGTATTTCCACTGAATTTTCCTCTGAGACATTTAGTAGTATGTAGTGTCACAAGTGGCCGCTAATAGTGAAATTAATCTGCATGCATTTTTATCCTTTTAATATGACTACATAATTTTATTAACATAAGAATTTAGTAACAGATCTTTTATAAATGTTTACAAAGCATTTTTTACTTTTCCTTTTGTTTGGTGGTTGTTGGGTTTTGTTTTCTTTTTTGCTTTTGAAGAAAGGCTTATGGAATAAAAACTGCAATGTCCTTGCTGGTCATTTAATCCTCACAACAATGAGGTGGAAAGTACCCATTTTATAGATCAAGAAACAATAAGGAACATAGGTGGGATGAAAATAGTTCTAATGAGGCTCTATCATTTTTGTGAGTTGGTGTGTTACAGTGGCTAGAAGCACCAGCTCTTGAGCCACACCACATGGTTTGAGCTGTGCCTACCACTTACCTCACTGTGTGGCTTTGGGGAAGTTACTTCAACTCTCCGTGCCTCCACTTCCTCATCCTGACTGCCTTGTAGTGTTGTTATGGGGGTACATGAGTAAATAGTACATGTTATGCCCTTAGGACAATTCCTGCACATAGTAAGTACTCAATAAATGTTAGCTGTTACTCTATTGGTATCCACATTTCTGGGAGCTTTTTGCAGTTGACATCAGTGGTGATGTTTGTGAGACTACACACAGAAAAACATCTTATATCTGCCTGTTTGTCTTAAAGTCATCTTAAGGTGGAATGAAAGGAAAGCTAAACTTAGAATAAAACATCTGAATTCTAGTCTTCATTTCTCATCTCACTAGTTCTATGGCCTTAGAAAAATAATTTAAGTTTCCTAACCATCAGTTCTGTTTTTAAAGTGAGTGCTCAATCAAGTGATCTCTCAGGTCCCTTCCAGCATGCTGATTCTATCACTAGAGTTAATACATGTGACCCTGATAAATGATTCTGGTTGGGTCTATAAGCCCAAAGAGGTCTGTGATGCAATGGCTTAGATTCAGTGAGCAAAAAGAGAAAAATGGAGAAGACAATGAAATAAATACTTTCCATACCTATTTAGCAATCTTTGGGAATTTATTTTGTCTACCTATTCCTTTCTTTATTTTCTCAACCATGCATAGTTTGCGGAGCTTCGGGGGCTCAGACACCTAGGAATGAAGGGTAGAATGAATATATATATAATTGTATAAATGTAAATGTATATATGAATAATACATTATAGTATTGATATAAAATGTATGTTAATATATTTATGTAGCAGATTATATATAAACTCCTTCCAAAATATTTCTTTCTTAAATCACAGATAAGTGAGATAGTTTATCAAGTTAAAATTACAACATCTGTATTTGGATAATCGCTCAGCAAATTTAATTACAGGGTATTCTCTATCATGAATAATCTATTAACTTCACCTTCCTATAATTATTTGAAATAGGTTTTCTGGTTCTATATTATTTCTGGGATACCTGCAATAAGTAAAATCCAATGAGGCTAATTCATTTAACAATAGGTGTTTATCATCTGCTGTGTGCCCAGCACAGTTCTAGATGCCTGAGATATGTCAGTGAATGAAATAGACAAAACTCCTTGTCCTCCTAAAGTTTACAATGTAGTGGTAGATTCAGATAAGAAATAATAAACCTACTAAATGGGTCAAATAATATATTAGAATGCGATAAGTACTATAAAGAAAAAAAGAGAGCAGGGCAAGGGGTATTGGCCATGCAGGGGTAGGAGTCAGGGTACAATAGGGTGGTCAGGGGAGGCCTCATGGAGAAAGCAAGCAGAGAGTTGAAAAAAGTAAGGAAGTTAGCCATGCAGCCATGTGGGGTAAGGTGTTCCTGGAACAGGGGACAGCCTGTGCAACTGCCTTAGGCAGTGTGTTCAAGGAACAGCATGGCAGCCAGTGTGTCCTGACGAGAGTGAGCAAGGAGAAAAATAACAGGGCTGGGGTGGGAGGAGGAGTTGGAGTGTAGGTCACGTGAAGGCCCGTAGACTATTTTCAAGACTATTCATGTGGAGTATGAAGACCACTAGCTCAATGGACCCTAATGACATGATGAGAGAGATCCGAAAAGTATTAGGTGCAAATAACTGTGATTACGAACAAAAGGAGAGGTTTTTGCTTTTCTGTGTCCATGGAGATGCTAGACAGGACTACTCAGCATAAATGACATGAGAAATCACAGGAGGATACTGAGAGGTAGGGGATAATCTGACATCTTTACATAGTTGCAATAAAACATTCTTTCTCAATATTATCAGGTGTAAATTATTCTCTTTCCCTCTGTAGTTATTACATTCCTCCTTCTCAAAAAGGGCAGGAGAAAGGAAATTTTTCTCTATATTTCAAAAATGTATATTTATAAATGGAATAGTAATGGTCCCTGTTTTGCATATGTGTGTATACATACATATATGTAGAATGGAGAATCTGTATTTATATATATTTACCACATATAGATATTATATAAAATGGAGAATCTGCTTTTGTAAACTTGAATAGAGAAATATAGAACTGAAAAAAAGCATTAAGTTCTTTACTTTCAGCTGCAGACTTATTTCCCACAAATATATTTAAGAAAATATGCTATTTTAGGTTGAAGATATTAAAAGTAAAAACAGATGGCATCTTGAGGTCTGTTTTTGTAACAGCAAGATAATGGAAATCTTTTGTGTCTCTCTGAGGGTAGCCTGCAAATTGAGTAGTTTTATTAGGCACTGAATTATGACCACTTAAATTATATACGTGTTTTGATTTCTTTGCTGAGTAGAATTTTTTTTTTTCATTCTTTCCTTTTGCCCTCTTTTTTCCAGAAGTACATCAGGGGAACCAAAAGAAAGAGACAAGGAAGAGGGTAAAGATTCCAAACCGCGTTCTTTGCGGTTCACGTGGAGTATGAAGACCACTAGCTCAATGGACCCTAATGACATGATGAGAGAGATCCGAAAAGTATTAGATGCAAATAACTGTGATTACGAACAAAAGGAGAGGTTTTTGCTTTTCTGTGTCCATGGAGATGCTAGACAGGACAGCCTCGTGCAGTGGGAGATGGAAGTCTGCAAGTTGCCACGGCTGTCACTCAATGGGGTCCGCTTCAAGCGAATATCTGGGACATCAATTGCCTTTAAGAACATTGCATCCAAAATAGCAAATGAGCTTAAGCTGTAAAGAAATCCAAATTTACAGGATCAGGGAAGACACATCCATATAAGAGGTACAGTTTTTGAATGTACTGGTAATGCCGAATGTGGTCCACCTGTGAATCTCCCCATGTAGAATCTGCCCTTAACGCAATAAGGTTATACATAGTTATGAACTGTAAAATTAAAGTCAGTATGAACTATAATAAATATCTGTAGCTTAAAAAGTAGGTTCACATGTACAGGTAAGTATATTGTGTATTTCTGTTCATTTCTGTTCATAGAGTTGTATAATAAAACATGATTGCTTAAAAACTTGTATAGTTGTCTAGATTTCTGCACATAAATGTACATTTGATGCTTTGAGTTGAAAATGTTCTTCCCTGTTATTTACATTCTGGTGGGTTTTTTAAATTCTTACCTCCATCTTGCAATTTTGAAAATTGTGTCCAGAATTAAAAGTACACAGAAATAGTCTTTACAATTGTAGCATGGACTTTTTAAAATTATTTTAAAATCATATTTAAATTTAAACCAGAAGCTGATAAATAGACCAGCTTTGTTATACACAGAATTACTCCTGCTTACCTTTGCTCTTATCCTTGTTATCAAACAAGGTTTCATTGAGAAAGATACAAAGGGTTTTACAGTGTTGGCACTTAGAGTTTTTAAAATAAAGTATGTGAAAATAAACAATAGCTTTTGTCTTGAGCTAACCAAGAAGTACTGGAGGTAAAGTTAAATCTACATCAAGTTTCTTTTGAACTTTGAAGTGTTTTCTGACCCTGCTAATTGTAGCAGCAAAATTAAAAAGAAACAATACTTTGTCTGGCTATTATAATGTAAACTGTCACTTAGGTTTGCTGCCTTCAGAATACCGCAATGTAATTGCGGGAATATACTACTATTGGGACTGTCTCATAGCACAAACTCATCTGTACAGTGTTGATCAATGCATCAGTTAAGAAATAATGCCACCTCAGGAATTAACTGGCATTGGGAACATTTGCCTCATTCTCCTCCATGCTCTTCATCCACCCCTGCCGTTGTAATATCTGTAAGTACTTAAGAGACTTGTGAGCAAAACATACTATTTATAACAGTGTATTATTGATTTACGCTTACGTGGTTGTTCAGTTTGTTCCCATGTAACATTTGTTTTAAATATTTTGCCAGATTTCTTGTATTTATTCCACATCATTATGCCTAAAATGTGCGGCTTTGTAATTGGGCATTTGCCTACCTTTCTTTCATAATTAGTGATATATATGCTATGTAAAATCACTAGTAAAGGTACATTTTAATACTTGTTATTTTATACTGAATTAGCCTTGGAGGTTGACTGTGCAATGTTATTTAATGTTGTAATTACTGTAATATCCAAATATGGGCCCCATCTGCACACTCCTGAGAAACAAAAAGTATATTCAAATTTTATCAGTTTAAGGAAAAATAAAGCTGTGATAAATACTGTAATTCTGACCTACATTAGAAAGCTCTAAGTGTAGGTGATGAGCCATTCCATAATGGCTGCCAGGCTAGGATGAATTTTACATTCTGTACTGTACTGTGATGTAGCTTTCTTCTGTAACAGTTCTGTTCTAAAATGAAGTGTATTTTTGCCTTAGCAAAGGGTGGTGTTTGGAAAAAAAAAAAAAAACTGTGTAGCCCCTTTTTAACCTAGTGCTCATTCAAAAAAATTGATGCAAATCTTTATTCACTTTCACTGGTGCACACTGAAATTTTACTTGAACAGTTCTCATAATAAAGCACTTGTCTTTTGCTCTTTATCAGGATGTGAATTACCTGTTTTCTGGTACAAAAGTATTCTGTATGAGGAGTTTATGTGTTTTAAATTTACTTGGCAAGGGGTGAAGCTATGTTGGATTTCAAGATGCCATTATGACAAGAAAATTTAATCTTTTTATAGGAGTTCCTATGGTTGAAATACTTTTTAAAAAAATAGTCCTCATGCCTTTTCCAAGGTAGAAAATGATATTTTTTACATTTTCTCACTCTGGCCAACTCTTCTGTGTTTGTGGAAAGGAATTTTACATCAATATTTTTTATGAACTAAAACTGAAATCTTGATATTCACTTTAGACTTTCCATTTTATGTGTTCATGACAACATAAATATTTTTTGAAGATTTAGAGGAATTTTCGACATGTTTGCATAAATAAATACCAGTTTATGTTCACTGGCTATGTGATACCAGGATTCCTTGGCTTCTGTTGAAATATTATTTGGTATGACATCCCTTGTATTAAATTATTTTGTAGATATTGGGACACAGCATTTTATGTGATAAATAAAAATAAGGTGAAATATACTTCAGAACCTTGACCCAATAATACTCTCTAAGGTAGAATTTGGTTTAAAATCCAAAAAGCCTTATTTTGAGGCTTTTCACCAACAGTGAAAAGCCTCAAAATGTGGGCAAATTTCACAGTGTGGGCAAAAAATATAATGTGATGATCAAGGTGCCAATTTACTGTAAGTGATTCTATCAGTCTATGTAAATTAATGATCTCTGCATTCATTTTAAAAATATCTGTTGAAGTATCTACTATAAGATACATAAAGGAATTATTTATGTATGGTTCCTACGTCTCCAAGACTTTGGTTCACTTTCAAAGACAAAATGAAAATATGTGCACCACTTAAAAAACCCACCCAAATAGGAAACAATGGAAGTGCTCAAACAAGCATACACAATAGGTGCTATGGAAGTTAGAAGCGTGAGTTCTGTATGGATACTAGAAAGGAAGGCGTTTTTGGGGATTTGAAGGATGGGTAAAATTTAAGAGACAGATTGGAAAAGACACTCTAGGTGGAAGGAACATGAAAAAAGGCTTGAAGTTAGTAACAGCTGTAAGACACAAGTTAAAAATGAACCACATACTGTAGGAAGTGCCACATAGGTGGCAATGTCCACAACACACTGAGGAATTCGTATATTAGACATTGCAGAAGAAAAGATAGTGCACTTGAAAACACAACAGTAGAAATTATCCAAAATGAAACAAAAATGCTGGAAGTAAAACAGTACAGCACTGAGGTGGAGGACAATGTCAGGCAACTTAATATATGTGTAGAGTCCCTAAGGAAGAGGAGAGAGGGGGACAGAAACGCATTTGAAGATGTAATGGCCAGAATATTGCCAAATTTTCTAGAAACTATAAACCCACAGGCCTCAAATGTTTAACAAACTCCAATGAAAAAGACTGTATCAAGTTATATGACAAGTTGCTTTAAAACCAGTGAAAAGAAAAGAACTATAAAATCAACCACAGGTAAAGACATATTACATAAGGAGGAAGAGGAACAAAGAAGGATAACAGCTGACTTGTCAGAAATGATGCAAGCCAGAAAAGTATTAGAAAACCTTTAAACTGTCAAACTAGGATTCTACACACAGATAAAATACCTGTCCAAAACAAAGATGAAATAAAAATGTTGAGACATACTAAAGCTAACAGAATTGATCACCAGAAGATTTGCACTACAAGAAATGTTAAAGGAAATCCTTCAAGCAGAAGGAAAAGTGGTGTTCAACATCACTAATCATCAGGGAAATGTAAATCAAAACCACACTGAGATACCACTTCACACACGTTAGAATGACTATTATCAAAAAGATGAAAGCTAAATTTTGGCAAGGATGTGGAGAAAAGAGAATCCTTATGCACTGTTGCTGGGTTGTAAATTAGTGTAGCCATTATGGAAAACAGTATGGAGGTTCCTCAAAAAATTGTAAGGTAGAACTACCATATGATCCAGCAGTCCCACTACTGGGTATATATCCAAGAGATATGAAACAGTATGACAGAGAACTGGGCCAGATGCAGTGGTTCATGCCTATAATACTAGCACTCTGGGAGGCTGAGGCAGGAGGACTGCTCGAGGCCAGGAATTTGAGACCAGTCTGAGCAAAAGTAAGACCTGGTCTCTATAAAAAAAAAATTAGCCAGGTGTGGTGGCACACACCTGTAGTCTCAGCTATTCAGAAGGCTGAGGCAGGAGGATCACTTGAGCCTAGGAGTTTGAGGTTGCAGTGAGCTATGATGATGGCACTGCATTCCAGCCCAGGCAACCGAACAAGACCCTGTTGCCAAAAAAAGAAAAAGATATCTGCACTCCCATGTTCATTGTAGCATTACTCACAATAGCCAGGATATGGAATCAACCTAAATGTCCATCAACAGAAGAATAAAATATGATACATATACACAATGTAATACTATTCATCCTTTATAAACGAAGGAGATCCTGTCATGTGATGACAAAGATGAAAGTGGAAGACACTATGTTACATGAAGTAAGGTAGGCACAGAAAGACAAATACCTTATCATCTCACATGTGGAATCTAAAAAATTCAAACTCATAGAAACAGAAAGTAAAATAGAGGTTGCCAGAGGCTGAGGGGAGGGAGGAGAGGATTGGGAAGATGTTGGTCAAAAGACAAAGTTACAGTTAGGAGGAAGAAGTTCAAAAGATTTATAGCACATCATGGTGACTATAGCTATATTTATATACCTATATATTAATAGCTATATTTATACTTGAAAATTGCTAAGAGAGTAGATTTTAAGTGTTCTCATTACAAAATATGATAAGTATATAAGGTAATTCATATGTTAAATAGCTTGATTTAGCCATTCCACAAAGTATACATATATCAACACATACTCTACACCACAAATGTAATACAATTTTTGTAAAAAAAAAATGTTTAATTGGACAAGAAAAAAAAAAAAACATCAATCCAAAGGAAGACAGGAAAAAATCAGAAAAAGAAAAAGTAAAAAAAGAACAGATGGGAACATAGAAAACCAGCAGCAAGTGGCAATCTTAAACCAAATCATATCAAAATTATACTGAATGTAAATGGTCAAAGAGCCCCAATGGGAAGGCTGCAATTGTCCAATCTGATAAAAAAGTCAAGAGCCAACTATATGCTGCCTTCAAGAAGCCAACTTTTAATATAAAGACATAAATAAGTTAAAAGAATCCAGGAATGATGAGTTGCCTGGATTAGAAGTAAAATAAGGGCCGGGCGCGATGGCTCACGCCTGTAATCCTAGCACTCTGGGAGGCCGAGGCAGGCGGATTGCTCAAGGTCAGGAGTTTGAAACCAGCCTGAGCAAGAGCAAGACTCTGTCTCTACTATAAATAGAAAGAAATTAATTGGCCAACTAATATATAGAGAAAAAAATCAGCCGGGCATGATGGTGCATGCCTGTAGTCCCAGCTACTTGGGAGGCTAAAGCAGCAGGATCGCTTGAGCCCAGGAGTTTGAGGTTGCTGTGAGCTAGACTGACGCCATGGCACTCACCCTAGCTTGGGCAACAGAGCGAGACTCTGTCTCAAAAAAAAAAAAAAAATTAATTAATAATTAAAAAAAAAAAGTAAAATAATAAGTTTGCTTTCAAGCTCAAAATCCTAAAATCACAGAATAAAGATAATCATAACCCTTCTATTTAGCACATAAACAGATGCAATAAATTAGATGGCAGGCTGAAGTTCCAGACTCTGAATAAGATGTCCTATAGACAGGAGATTAACTGGAATCTGGATTTCAAGGCATATTTGTATGTTTTCAGTAACAATGTGAAAGTTGTAGATTCAGGACATAATCAGTAACTGAAATAAAGATTATACAGTTATGATTCAATGATTGGTACTTGGGGGAATACTAAGTAAATTTATAGATGTTTTCAAATGTGAAAATCATATATCCTATATGTACGGAGTTTGGAAACATTAAAAATGAATTCTTTTAGGAATATAATATTTTTTTCTCTAAATTAATATTCTAACTGCGTTATTTGTTGCCAAAATTAAATTATGCATTTATGTAGAAATGTATCTACATAACATTTAGATTTTTTTTAAAGCCAGAATGGTTAAAAGTTAATTTTTTTTTCATTCATCTTATTGGTCTGTAACATCGTTTGCATTTTCTGTATATGTAACAGAACACCACAATATAAAGCAAGAGGTATGTGAAGGCGGAAGTTACATGATGAAGGTGAATTATCCAGAAAAACATATATACCTTTTAGAGAAATGCGACTTTTTCAAGGCTGTTAGGACATCCTGTACAGTATGGTAATAAGTCCAAAAAACCATGCATAGATATAGAATATTTACTACATGTAAGAAACATCATCTTCTTAAAAAATCATGAATTTTAAAAAAATTCCTACCAAGATAAAAGCACTACTATGTATGATCATTCCAAATAGATATGTTCTGTAAAATTTCCCAGTAATTGCTCTAACTCAGCTTGTGCTCAGTGGTTTGGTGCTAATACATTTGAAATACAGACAAGTTGTGGGTAAGTGAGATTTCAATCTTGATCTTTAATTTTCCCAGAAAAAAAAAAAATTAGTGATGTTTACTTTGAAAATTAAAATAGGAAGTTGAAAGAAGCTGACTTTTGAGCTTAGTTCATCTCTAGGTAAGTCATATTTTAACTTACATGGTGACATGGAAGTAGTAAAGCAAGTAAAACAATAGGAAACCTCACCTCCTTAATGTTTATGAGAAGTCAAATTTTCTTAAACATGTTTATAATATCCAACTCATATCTTTTTACATATAAACAAAGTCAGTTGGAATTCATTGTAGATTCTCAAAATTTTATTAAGATGATTTCAATAATCTGAGTTACATTGAGTTGATTTTCTTCGTTCTGCAATCAGTATTTGTTCTATACGCAGCACTCTGAAGTTGCTATCACTGTACCCACTGTGGACAAATTTTTCAACTCCAATAGTAATTTGTATAGATTATTATGGGATAATAAACTTAGTCTAAGAATCAAAATATCATTGATTCAAAGAGCTCTTGTGATGCTGAATCTGGAATAGGCTGCCTCCCAAAACTGGTCATGCTACTGCTGCTTCAATAGCAATGAAGACAAGGCTAGCCTGCCCTAAATATTATGAAGGCCAGGCACAAGAGCACAAAGAAAAGCATTGTCCCAAAGCAAACCCCTATTCTTCCCTACTCCCATCCCTTCCAGCTCCATCCTGCACTAGGAGGGCCTGAAGCACAAGTGTGTGGACAGTACATTAATCTGCATTTATTTCACTCAGCCAATTATGAGTCTTACTAAATAAATCTATTACCATTTAGCTTGCTCTTCCTCGTTTTGATTTTGCCACATGTTTAGCTGAAATCTAGACACACTTTCCATTTTATTCAATAAAGATAACAGGAAGAAAAAGAAGGAAGAGAAGAAAGGTTGTCTGGAATAATGTTTTTCTTAA